AATATTTATAAAATTGAAACAAAAAAAAAAAAAAAAAAAAAAAAATATAAGTATATAATATTAATATAAAATTAATAAAAATGTATTTTTTGTTATTAAATATAATTTTTTTTATTTTTTTTAAATCAAGAAAATTTTATTTAATGAATGAAATAATTTGGTTTTTAGTGTTTCCCAGTTCAATAATTAAAATTATTACTTTTTATATAGGAAAAAAAAATTTCACTAAAAAAATATAAGTAGTTATATTCTTTATTTAAAATTAAAATATATCTTTATAAATTTTTTTTTATTTTAAATCATTTTTCGAATAATAACAAAGAATTATTTTCATGAATGAAAAAAATATATTTTTTTATTTTTTGAAAAAAAATTTTCCTTTGTTAATTTACTAAAAAATTTTTGTGTGACATATTATTTTAATATTTATTGAGAAACGAAAAAAGAAAACATTTAAAGACAATTATGTATAATATATTTTTTTTTTATTATTTTCATTTTTTTATATTTATAAAAAAAAATAGCAAATGTCAAAAATTAATCTAAAATATTATTATAATTTAAAAATGTCTGTTATTATGTTATATAAGATCTATCTAATAATATAATAAAGGTGTTAAACATTATATAAAACAATATATGGTACTATATTTTTTTTTTATTTTAACATTATGTTGCAAAATTTAGATAATTTTTTAATTTTAAGCTTCTAAATTAATAATTAAAAGTTTAACTTATTTGTAAATATTATAACACCTAATTTAATTTTATGTGTTATATCAAAATATTTAATAATAGAACAATTCTTACATTAAGTTTAATATATTAATTTTATTTATAAAGAAAAGAAAAAACTTTTAAAAAAGTTTTTAAAAATTTGTATATAAAGACGGATGAATGTTATATAAAGGAGGTTTTCTTATAAATTATAATACACTACCCATTTTATGATAAAAAAAAAAAAAAAAAAAATATATATTAATTGTAAAATGCACTAAAACAGCAATTATATATAATTGAAAGAAAAAATAAATTTTCAAAGTAATTTATGTATAATTATTATTTTAAATACGTCTTAAGGTTATGATGCATTTTAATAAATTTCCAATTCAAAAAAAATATTAATTTTCGATCATTTTATATATACATATATATATATAATTTTATTATTTTATCTCCAATAATATTATGCGTTTGAATTAAATATTTTATTGCAGTTTGTGTTATATTATTTCTTTATTATTTATTCATTTATTTTTTTTTTTTTAATCTATGATTTTTATTTCTTTGTTAAAATATTTGTCTTATTAAAATTTTAAGATCTTTTTTTTTGTTATAAAAAATAAATTTAATTTTATGTAAAAAACAAATGTTCTTTTATTATACTTTTTATTTTAATATAAATAATGCTGCAGCTTTAAAAAAAAAAATTAAAAGAAAAGCAAATTTTATATATATTTTTTAAAAGAAATTTTTAGTACTATGAAAAAAAAAAAAAAAAAAGTAATAAAATAATATAGAATATTTTTATATTACACTTGCATGCTTCATTAATAAAGAAATATAAATATTACCTTGATAAAAAAATTTTGAATTTTTAAAATATACAAGGAAGCAAAACATAACATTATAAAATAAAATAAAGAAAAAAATGTAAAACGATGGAATAATAACAAAATAAAAATATTTATTTTTAAAAGAAGTAATTAAAAAAAATTACACTTATAGCAATTAGAAATAAGAAAAGTAAAATATTAAACTAAAATATTAGAATAATTAAAATTAAAAAATTAAAAGCTATAACTATTCAAAAAAGAAAAAGCTTGAAATAATTAAAAAAGGAAAAATGTAGAATAATAAAAAATAAAAATGTAGAACATTAAAGTATTAAAAATATTGAATAATTATATTATTATATACATTAATAAAGCAAAAAAAGGGAAAATAATAAAATAAGAAAGAACCAAATATCTTTTATTCTAAAAAAAAGCATAGTAATATATCATTAATAAATTCTTTATTATAAAAGAATTACTTTTCATTATGAAAAGATACATATAAGAAAAGCCTAAATTACAATTTTTCAAATTTTATAAATACTAAAAAAAACATGTTTGAAGTTCTTTTAATATAAAATGAGCATACCTAAAAGAATAATTAAAGTAACTTGTTTATGTATTATTCCTTTTGTTTCTTTCCTTTGTATAATGAAATAGTATTCGATGAATATCAAAAAGATATATTATAAAAATATTTTATTATGAACTTTCAATATAACTTCATGTAAGTATATTGTTAATTTATTAATTTTTATTAGATAAAAATAGAATGATATGTCTTTAATATATTTTTATTTTATTTCTAATAAGGAAAAATATGCATTAAAAAGATGTATTGAAGATATAACTTTTTTTTTTTTTTTTATATTTTCATTGTACTTGTAAAAATTTCTATAAAAATTTAGGTAATTTATAATATTGAATAAGAAAAAACATAATAAAATGGTTCGCATGAACTGTTAATACATTTAATTATAAAAATTTATAAAAGCAAGAAATATTTTTTACTTACATTTTTTATTTCTGTATTTTTAATTCTTTTACGTCTGAAATATTTTTACTGTATAATTGCATGTAAACTAGAATCTATTATTTAAAAAAGAAAAATATAATTTATATAGTAATGGAAAAATCTTATTAATAATTACAACAAAATAAATTTAAAATTAAGAAAAATATCATAAATAAAAATATTTCTTTAGTGCACATTATTTTATGTTGCATAATACTCAATTTTTTTTTTATTTCTTGTCAAATTGATTAAATAGAAATCTGAAATACTTTCAAGTTAATATTTTATGATTATTAAATTTATTATATTATATAAAAAAAGAAGAAAATTTCAATCACTTTAATTTTATTAAGTACAATTTTAAAATATTTTTCTTTGCATATAAGAAACGTATATATATTTTCATGTGCATTTTAAAATAAAATATAAAGCTTATAGATTAAAAATATATAAGAGCAATACGTTATCTTTTTTTTTTTTTTTTTTTTTTTTTTTTTTTTTTTATACGTATGTATAGTGAGATTATTTTTTTTCTTGAAATATTTTATATTTTCATTTTTTTTTCATATGCCAGTATATGTTATTAAATTTTAAAACATACATAAAAAAATAGTACTTTTTTATGAATATGATTTTTTTTTAATAAAAAGTAATAATAATAAATTGACACTGCCAATTGTTAAAATGGAAAAAAAATTATATAATAAATGAGAGATATATAATTAGATAAATTTAAAATTTTTTTTTTTTTTTTTTAATGCTTAAAGTCTTTTCTCCTACTTGTTATATATGGAAACATAAAATTTTTTTATTTTATTTTATTTATTTCTTTTTCTTTTTTTTTGCAATGATACTTCACAAAAATATATCACTTTAAGCATGTTTCTGTTTTAAGTGTTATATAATAATATATATAAATATAAATATATATATATAAATATATATATATATATATATATATATATATATATATATATATATATATATATATATATATATATACATATATATGTATGCATATGTAAATACTTATATATTTTTAAAAATTATTTTTATTATACCTTTTTAATTTTTTTTTTTCTTCAATGATAACATTGTGCGAATTAATGCTTACTATTACACCGTCAAAAATAAAATTGCAAAATTAAACAAAAATACAATTTATATAATTATACTAATATATTTAAAGAAAAAATAATTGCATTTAAAATATATATATATATATAATTATATTATAAATAATTTATAAGAATAAATGATTTATGCAAAAAAATTTTTTTATATTATATAAATGTACATATACGTATACATTTTTAATATTATATATTTGAAAATTTTTTATGCATTACTTATAAACTATAAAAAAAATACATATAATATAAAAAAACAGTTACATAGAATTTTTAGAAGTTTTTTTAAGAAATTACATGAATTGTTAAAAATATAACAATAAATTTTAAATAAAATGTTAAATGCCAAAGTTGTGTAATTTTATATTAACATATACATAAATATAAACTTATTTTTTCTTCATTTTTGCCTTTTTTACATATATGTATATATATAACTTTTGATTAACATATATAAAATATGAAATTTATTATTGCCCCCATTCTTTTTTTTTTTTTTCTTTTTGATAATTTTAATTTTGTTACATTAAATATTAGTTTTGAATAACATATATATTAAAAAAAATGAACTTTAAAAAAAACAAAAAAAAAAAAATTATGTAAAAATTATAAAATAAAAGAAATTTATTTATACTAATAAATAAATTATGTAAAATTTGTGTAAACATGTAAAAATTGTAACTTTATTAACATTATTTATATATTTTTTTTTTTTTTATTGAAATATGTCTTTATATAATATTAAAATTTTTTCCATATATATTTTAAATTAAGAAAAAAAAAAATATATTGTTAATATATTTTACATATGAGATTAAAATATTTATATAATTTTTTATATTAATTTTCGTGTGTTGTAAATTTATATATATATATATATTTTTGAAAAATTTAAATTATATAATAATTTTACATTATTTTTTAAGAAAATTTTTCTTACAGTTGTATGGACATGTATAAATTTACTTTTTATATCAAAATTTATTTACATATATACATCTTTATTTTGAAATAAAATATTTCTTAAAATTATTTTTGATTTTATTATATATTTTTTTCCATTATTATGAAAATTACTTTGAGAAAATTAAAATAAAGAAAAGAAGAAAATAAATAAAATAGTTAAGAACTCATATGTTCTGTATTTTTATTTGAATTTTTATTTTAGTGCAAATTATTAATAGAAAGGGAAGAAAAAAAAAAGATATATATAACTAGTGGCAGTTGTATTTTTTCTTAAATTGAGTAATTATATTATTAAAATAAAAAAAAAAGTAAATAAAAATAGAAAAAAAAAAAATTATCAAAAAAAGAAGTTTTTTAAATGAAGTTACTGTTCAAATGAGTAAAATAAATGGATCAAAAATTGATGACATAAATAAAAGTGAGAAACAAATGAATTCATTTAACAATCAGTTACTTGGTGAAGAAAATTATAAAGTAAGCAAATAAAATGAAAAGCAAAAATGAGATATATATATATATGTATATATATATATATATGTATCAAAAAAATAAAAGAATTTATGATATAAGAAAAAATAACGTAAAATAAAGAAGTTATATGTGCTTTACTGATATATATGAAAAATATAATTTATGTAAGAATGTATATACATAAATATATGTATTTTTATAATTATTTTTCTTTTTTTTTTTTTTTTTTAGATGAATAAAGGATTTAATATATCTAATTATAATCTAGATTTAATCAAATGTTTACAAGATGAATCAGGAATATATTTTATATTAGATCCATCTAAGGCCATAAACGAAAAAAAAAATTCAGAAGTATATGATATTTTTGTACCTGAGAATAGTGATGGAGTTACCTTGCATGTTCAAAAAGTTAATGATGAATATAAATGTATAGGTGTTAGTATTACTAAAAAAGGAATAGATATAAACACAGGAACAAGAATTTTTAACACAAAGATAGCCGATTGGTTAGAACAACTATTTCATTTTAATAAAACGTTAGCTTGTAATAATTCTGCTAACAATGCATCCAATAATAATAGCAAATTGAAAAGAGTTAACAGTAGTAACTCTATTATGAGCAGTAATAATAACAATTCCTCAAATTCTGTTGTTAATAATAATAAAAATACTAACAATACTTTAAATTCTATCAATAATAATAATAATATTAGCAATACTAATAGTAATAATAATAATATCAATAATAATAGCAATAATAATAATAATCATAATAATAATAATAACAATCAAAATAATTATAATAACAATCAAAATAATAATAATAATAATATGAATACTAATACTAATACTACTACGACTACTGCTAATAATAATAATGATAATGATAATGATAATAATAATAATAATAATGATAATAATAATAATAATAATGATAATAATGATAATAATACTGCTAATAATAATAATGATAATGATAATAATAATAATAATAATTATAATGATAATAATAATAATAATAATACTACTACTACTACTACTACTACTGCTAATAATAATAATGATAATGATAATAATAATAATGATAATAATAATAATGATAATAATAATAATAACAATCAAAATAATAATAATAATGTAAGCAATGGAAGTAATTTAACAAATAACAAATTTAATAATTACAATAATATAAAGCATACGTCACCTGGTGTACATCAATCATCAGTTTCTAATATACCTAAAAATTCTAAAAATAATTATGATAATTTTCAAAATAATGAAAATTATAATTCTGTTATTTGCAATAAAAAAGCTAACAAAACTGCAAATCAACAAAATTGTAATTTAAATCATTCAAATAGCACCAATAACATAATGTCTCATACTGTTGCTGCTGCAAATTTAAATTCTCAATCGAAAGATCAAACGCATCAGCATATTCAACAAATTCAGCATGCAAAGCAAATGAGATTACATCAATTGAATAACTCGCATTCCCATAAACCTCATTTATTGTCCTACCATAATGTAAATTATGATGATAAAAATAATAATAAATTATATAATAATATAAATTCAAATAATTTAAATAACAAAAATGTGTCCAATGGAAATTCTACAGCACCACAGGTATCTTCTACATCAAATAATGAAATGATAAAGAATAATAAATTAGGTTGCGCAAATAGACAAAAAAATATAAATCATCACATACATAATCATGCACATAATGATATCTTTAATTCTCAAAATTCTCATCAAAATAATCATATATATAATCATAAATCACAACAACAATCTTATAATGAAAATTATGGATATAGGCCAACATTATTTAATTTGTTAGAAGTATTAGCTAACCACAATATAACAACTCCTGATCAACGTGTGTGTATAAGAGGTATAGTCACAGACTTTCTAAATAATGAATTGCCGCATGGAAAAATATATGCATATATTGGTGCAGTTGTAGGTCATGATATTTTACATGATATAATAAGAAAATTAGAAAAAGATCCTAATAGAAATATAGTTCCAGATGCTTCAGGATTAGCTCGAATAGAAGCAGCATTTGGATTAAGTAAATCTTCTTATGATTTCATGAATAGTAATTCAAATAATTCTAGTGTAAATAATATTTCTAATGTGTTATTTAATCATCGTAATTTAAGTAGCAATATTTTAAATAATCATATTTATTCTAGTATATTATCAAATGTTGCTACTAATAATATGAATAATAATCATGCTCTAAATAATGATCGTTTAAATATAGAAAATGAGAAATTGTTAAATAGTAAAACATCCAATGATATAAATAATTTATTGAAATATACAAAAAATGAAAAATATTCCGTTTCTTGTAATAATTTTTTAAATTTAAATAAAAAAAATAATCAGAATATTAATAATATGTTAAATTTAAGATGTGATAATGTTTTTAATAATAATAATAAAAATAACAATAATTTTACTCCTCATGATTATATATGTGCAACTAGAAATTTAAATATGCAATGTTCCAACAAAAATAATTTTTCTGATGATGAAGAGGAGTTAATGAAAGCAATTAAAAAAAATATAGAGACTTACAAAATGAATAATATTAAAAATATATTGATATCATCTGTTTTTGGTAGAATTAAATGGTTAAAAATTATGAATGAGTCACCTCATGCATACTTATATGGACATAGTATAGTAAAATTTGGTAATAAATTATATATGTTTGGTGGCTCAAATAATAAAAATAAAAAGGTTCCTTTTAATCACACTTTAACATTTAGTTTAATATACTACAATTATAAATTACTTCCATTAGGTGGTAATTATCCTGAAGAAAGAGATGGTCACACTACTCATTTAATTTCTTTGAAAAACGGATTATCTATATTTTTATTTGGAGGAAGTAATGAAAATATATATTATAATGATATATATATTTTAGATATGGAAACTCGTAAATGGTCTTTAAGAGAAGTAAAAGGCAAATTGCCATTACCAAGAGATCAGCATTCTTCTCTTGTTTATCCAGCCAAAAGTGAGCATTTAAGAGGAGAAAAATCTAATCTAACTGAAGGAGTAATCATATTTGGTGGAAAATGCTTGTATAATAATAGTATTATTAATTTAAATGATATGTGGATATTTTTGTTTCATCTAAATATATGGGTACGCATAAATTATTTAAGTGAAGAAACACCAATAGGTAGACATGGAATGAATCTAGTATGGTCTGATACTAATACTTTATGTTTGTTTGGTGGAGAATGTTATGATAATTCTAAAAACTTTAAAGAAAGAAAATTATTGGATGATATGTGGATATTTAAATTACATACCAATAAAAATTTTATTTCAAATAATTCTAATTTACGTGATGGAAACTCATGTAATCCAAGTGATATTATTCAAACAGATGTTTATAATAATCAATCTAGCAAAGCATGTTATCATAAGAATATCATTAATAATCCTAGTTCAAATGAACAAAATACTTTTGAAAATAACCATTCGACAAATGCTTTATGTAATAATAGTGCAGATGCTTATATTAGTGATAAAGAAACTTCTGATAATGAAAAAGATAAAAAATTCACGAAAAAAATAAGAGTAACAGGCGAATGGCAAAGAGAAGTATATGAAGGAAAAATAGGATGTAGATCTAATTATAGTAGTATTTTTATAACTCAAAGACATCAAGATTTTAAAGGAGCAGAACCAAAAACTATTGAAAGGTTAATGCTTTTATGTAGTGGAATAACATATGTTACTAAAGATAATAAAAAGAAAATTGTTTCGAGTGATGAAATATACGTTTACTTCTTTTCACAAAAAAGATGGTATTTATTAAAAGGAAAACTATATAATGAAGAATTAATATATAATGGAAGGCAAAGACATGTAGGTTGTTTTTTTGAATCAAAAAATGTTTTAGGTAGGGCAAATAAAAACCCAATTCCTTGCATATTTATACAAGGAGGTTTTAAGAAAAATTCAGTTTTTGGTGATGCATGGTTGTTATCACTTACAGGAGAAAATCCATTAAGAATTCATGAATATGATTCATCGAGGGAAAAAATTTCAACTACTCAAATGCCACTGTATTACTTTAGAGATACACATTCGATTAGTTTATTATATAGTTTTTGTACTTTACAGAAATGGTTATTTGGTGCATTTGCAAACTTGGTTGATAACTGTATTCAATCATCAAATCCAGCTGAAAATGTTTTTATTAAATATGAATTAACACCTGAGCATGATGGTATGTTATCTATTCAAGATGATGGAGAAGGTTTGGATTTTAATGCTATGAATAGAATATTAAGAATGTATGGTAATTATAGAAATTATGACAAAAATTTATTATATAATAATAACAATACTAGTGTAAAGAAGCATAATTTACCAAATAGTGATTTTGTCAACAATAAAGTAGATGAATTTAATGATGATCAAAGTGAAAAGGATTATAATTCTAATAAAAATGTAAACAGAAATTCATCAAGCGCAAAAAATAATTCCCAAGAATACAATAAAGAATCATTATTAGATGAAAATATAGAATCCTCTCAAAAACAAAAACAGAAAAATATAGATAATGAAAAACCTAAAGAAAAGCAAAATTATTATGAAGAAGAAATTGATGAAAGTGACAAAGAAAGAGAAAATGAAGAAGTACCTAAAAATAAAAAAAAAAAGAAAGAACAAGAAAACAATGTTGATTTGAAAAAGGAGATTGATGAAAATAGTACTACAACTAATATAAATAATAAAGGAGCTATAAATCTAAATGAAAAAAATAATCCATTGGATTATAATGAAATGAATAATAAAGGAGGAAATAGTAACAATGATGATTATGATTATAAAACACATGATGAAGATTCTTTTTATAATGAAAATGCAAATAATACATTTGATTTAAAATATGGTGTTGGTTTTAAAATGGCTTATGCAAGAATTTCATCTAGCTGTGCTATTATGTCTAGAACGGTTAATACTATAGGTATAGGGTTATTATCATTAGAATTAATGAATCATTGTGATGCTAAAGAATTAGCTACACCATTGTGTATGTGGAAATTACCTAACAAAGAATTAATAAATAGGAATATTGCAAATAAATCAGAACATAGACATCATCAGAAATTGTTAATGTCATACACCCCTTTTAATAGTCCCAGTTTATTAGCAGAACAAATTAATATTTTAGGAACATATAGTGGAACTAGATTATTATATTGGGATTTTAGGGACGATATGGATTTTATTGTATTTTGCTCCTCTAATAATAATATATATTTAAGTAGTTCCCCTTTAAGTTTAGAAGAAATTAAATATGGTAAGAAAAGAAAGAATATTACTAATGTCAGCAATAACAGTAATAAATATTCTTGTGTAGAAGATATAAAATTAAATAATAGAGATATTAAAAGAAAAGGTAATTTTGAAGATGAAAAAATGAAGAAAGCTAAAACAGAAAAGGATTCTTCTATTGGTAACAATAATAGAGACTATAAAAATAATCTCGTTAAAGAGGAAAAAGAAGATATTTATGTAACTGAAGAAAATACAAAAGAATATAATGGTAATAATAGCACTTATTCAAAAAATGATGATAATAATCAGGATGATTTAAATCTTGAAAATAACAATAATATTAATGATAATCAATCGAAAACTAATAAAAATAATGTAAAGAGAGAAAAAAAAATTAATACAAATTCTTGTGATGAAAATAAAAGTATTGAAAAAAATAATAATGTTCACAAGAATGATATTAAAAATGGTATATATAATAAGGCCAGAAATAACGATTATGATCCGTATCAATATTATAATAGTTCATTAAAAAAGTTAAATTTATTCGAATATAATGCTCATTTACATCCATCCATATCTAAAGAAAAATACAACATTAGCTCTATTTTTCCTTTATGGGATCATCCTAAAGATAGTATAGATTATTGCTTATCTACATATTTATATTGGCTCTATTTAAGAAGAAACACTAATATATTTTTGCAAAATACTCTTCTTATACCTACATGTATGAGAAACAATGATAAGAGTAATTTAAAAAAAAAAAAAAAAAAATCAAAAAAGGGGAAAAATAGAAAAAAATTAAAAAAAAAAAAAAATAATAATAATAATAGTGATTTTAATAAGAATATTATAAAAAATAGAAAGGAAAAAAATAACGAAAATATATCTTTCAATAAAGAAAGTGATAATCAATATCATTTAAAAGAGGAAGCTACAGAAGAAAACAAAGATGATAGAGATAATAATAATACTACTAACTTTGAATCCAATGAAAATGTAAACAAATTTAATATTCCAATAAAAAACGAAATAGAAGAAGACTCAAAAAATGAAGATATTGAGAAAAACAATGATAAGTACGAAAAAAGAAAAAAACAGAAAACAAATGACATGAATATTGATAACATTCAAAATGAAGAGAATGAAAATGAAGATAAAAATGAGAATGAACAAGATCAAATAGAAAAAAAAAAATTACAAGAAGCGTTAGAATATGGAATAAAACAAGAAAAAAAAGAAGGAAATGAAGTGCATAAAAAAGAAATGGAAATAAAAAAAGAAAAAGATAGACATTTAAAAGAAGATGAAGATGAAGAAGATGATGACGTTGATAATGAAGAAGATGATGACGACGATGATGATGATGATGATGATGATAATGACGATGATGATGATGATGATGATGACGATGATGACGAAGAGGAGGAAGAAGATGATATTGATGGTGATCAAGAGGAAGAAAAAGAAGAACAAAAAGAATCAGGATTACAAAAAACCGAAAAAGATGAAAATGATGGCCATAATGTTAAGGAAGAGTATGATAATGAAAATACTGAAGGAAAAAAGATAAAAAAAATAAAAGATAATGATAATGAAATAAAGGAAGAAAATGAAAAAAAAGCAAAAAAGAAACTTGAAAAAAATGAGAATTATGTAAACAAAAAAGGAAACATGTATAACAATGATATAAAAAATGAAGAAAATGAAAAAGTAAAAAAAGAAAACTATGTCAATTTATATATGGAAAATTTAAAAATAAAAGATGAGTATTATATAAATAATACTAGTAAATACACATTATATAGTTTTCTAAAAAGAAAATTGTATAAACAAGTAGAATTTCATTATTTATTTACACCATCAGATTACGAATACGGTTCTTTTATTATGATGGGATTTTTAAATGATAACGACAATACATTAATAGAAGTAAAAAGAGTTTGTGAAGCTGGTATTTTACTATATTATAAAAACAGATTAATAAAAAGATTAGATGCACCATTTATTGATTCTGCTTATAACTTATCTTTATCTAAATATCCTCCTAATCCATCTCTTTATGAAGGAAATTTATATAAATATGCTCTCACAGTTATTGTTAATGTGCCTAATTGGTTAAAACCATCTATAAGTAAACAGGAATTTATACATGAAAATAATTACGCTTTTCTTGTTTTCAAAAAAAAATTAATTTCCTTAATTAAGTATTATCTTAATATCTGTCAGGATAATCTAAAATTAAAAAAATGGAAAGAATCAAGAGATTTAAAATTAAAAAACTATCTTGAAAAAGTTCAATATAAACTAAGAAAATCAAAAAATGAATCAGAAAATGAATATGAAAAAGCATACAAAATTGTATATAATGATAAAGATAAAATAAGAAAAGAAGATATTGAAAAAGAAGAAGAATTAGAAAGAGAGGAAAATAGACAAATAGTTAAAGAAATTGAAAAAGCTCAAGAAGAAAAGAGGCAAAGAGAAAGTGAAATAGCCATTAATAAACAAAAAGGTAATTATAATAATTTAGAAGAGGAAGAAGATGAAAGTGAAGAGTATACAAAACCCATGAGAAAAAGAGAAAAACAAAAAAAAGAAAATGATGAAGATGAAGAAGAAAAAGATGGAGAACATGTTGAAAAAGGAAATAATGGACACAACGATGATGAGATCAAAAAGGAAGATAATGAACTAGAAGAAGAAGAAGAAGAGGAAGATGAAGATGAACCAGAAGACGATAATGAGCAAGACGATGAGGGAAAAGAAGATGAACAAGAGGAATATGATGAAGAAAAAGAGCAAGAAAAAATAAGGAAAAAGCAAATGAATGAGCAAGCAGATGAAGAAGAAGATGAAGATGATGCAGATGATGATGATGATGAACAAGAAGAAGATGAACAAAAAGATGAAGGTCATGACAATGATGGTGATGATGATGATCAAGATGAACGTGATGATGATGAACAAGAAGATGAAGATCAGAATGAACAAAATAATGAAGAACTAAATAAATCCATAGAAGAGAATTATCCTGATAGATGGAAGCAGTGAAAAAAGGAAAAAATAAAATAACTAAAAAAAAATATAAAATTTAAAATGAAGATTAAGTGAAAACATATGGTAGTAAAAATAGAAAAAAAAAGTAACAAAAAAAAAAAAAAATAAAATAATAAAAAAATGAAATAAAATAAAATAAAATGGTATTCATAAAAAAAAAAGATAACCAAATGAAATATGATGAAATGAAAAGTATTGATCATCTTCATAGAAAATAACTAAAAACAAAAAAAATAGATAAAGTCGAGAAAAAGAAACAGTATACAAAAGGGAAATTATTGAGAGCAGAAAAATTGAAATTTACATATGGAAATGATGATAAAAAAGATAATAAGGAAATATAAATAAAATGAATGACAAGAAAATTAAGATAGAAAAGAATTATGATATAAATGAAAGCATAAAAAAAAAAAAAAAAAAAAAAAGAGATATAAATTATTTTTTGATAAAATATTCGGCATTAAGGTAAACTTAAAAATGAAAAGATATATACTTAGAAATTGCTTTAAATAGGAAGATAGGATATAAAAGAAAAAACAAATAAATAAAAGAAATCTTTAAATAAATTATATTCAGAAAAAAAGAAAGACTTTCTTTTTCATGAGGTTTTCACAAAAAGAATAATCTATCAAACAACCAAAGAAAGATTATTACATAAAATATATAAAAGGGAATATATTTAAATAAAGAAGATTGTAAACTTATATATATATGTATATATATGGTTTTATTGTTACTTATGTAAATCCATAAATAATATATTTTTTCATTGTATAATAAAAATAAATATAACTATATAAAAATTTATGAGTATTGTGTATATTTTTTTTTATTCTTAAAATGAAAAAATTGCAAATATTTTTAAGCTATTTTTATATTATTGAAAATTATCTTTTTTTTTTTTTTTTTTTTTTTTTTTCTACCAAATATTATATATATTTATTAACTGATCAATATATGTATTCTATTAAAATACCTTTCTATATCTATTTCTATTTTTCTTAATATTTTTTTCTACATTTTTTTGCATTTGAAAAAAAGTGTTATGTATATATATAAACGATTGAATATGTACTTTAATTATTTTGATTTATTATTATATTTTCAAACATGTAAAATTCATAAATGTTTTTTAATGTTTTTATAGCTTATAATTAAAAAAAATATAAAGTTAGTATTTCAAGGATTAAGTAAAAAAAAATTTTCTGTATATGAGTAATAAATGAATAGAAGAAATTTATTTTCTTAATTTATTTCAAAGAAATGTGAAATATCACACATTAAATTTTATAAGAACAAAATTAATAAAACATTATATTCAAAATTTTTAGTTTGACCTACTATACTGTCTGATTTATTATATTCTTTTTTTTATAAATTTTATTTTGTTTTATTTTTTTTTTTTTTATTTTTCTTTCCTATTTAATGAAAGTGTTTGTGAGTTTTTTTCAAAATTAATATGTATGAATGTAAACATATTTATATATATAATTTTTTTAACATAAAATATAAATTATTTGCCAAATTTCATATGATTAAAAAAAAAAACGTACATTTTTTATTTCTGATTATATGTTTTTTGTAAGCTACTTTTAAAATAACTTTAAAAAATTAAAATGTTCTTTAAAATCATACTTTTTAGTACGTATATTAATATTTCCTTTTAGGTAATATTATTTATAAGAAATGTTTTTTATTTTCATTTGTAAAAAGTTTTAATTAATGCTTAAGTTTTTTTTCTTTTGAAGAAGTAACGAATTAGTGTAAATATTAAAAAAATAATAATACGTAAAAATTCTTTAGAGAGGAAAATTCTTAACACATTCTAAAAATAATAAATTTAAAAATATTAATATAAAAAAAAATTTTCTATAGTTTTATTCACTTTTTATCCTTTTAAGCATTTGAATATATTCGTTAATTTTTTCTAATAGAAGAGTATTTTTTTTTTTTACATCATTTAAAAGACGAGCTTTTTCGTTCAATTCTTTATTCATTATATTCATCCTTTGATTGTGTTCATTTTCTTTATTTTTAATTTCTTCTAATATACATTTTTTTTTTTTTTCTTGAAATTTTTTTTCTAAATCATCAAAATCAAATGTTATATCATTCTTTTTTAATTTATTTTTTAAAATTTTTTTCTTTTCATTAGCTTTTTTTAATAAATGATTATTAATATTTTCTAATTCTTTATTTTTTTTTTTTAAACTTTTATATTTAAAAAGAAACTTTTCCTTTTGTTTTGTACTATTTTCCATTTTTTTCATTATATCTTTATATTGTTCTATACTAAGAATAGTACAATTACTTGCTAAATTTAGACGATATTTTTTTTTATCATAAAGGTAATCAATATTCCTTAATTTTGATAATTTTAACATAATGTAAAATTTCACTTCAGATATATTTTTCTTTTTATCATCTTCTATTATAGAAATTTCTTCATTTATTAACTCAATTTCCTTTTCTATATTTTTCTTTTTAATTATTAGTTTTCTTTGATCATTTTTTTTATTATCTATACTTTTCTTTATATTATTGATACTTTTTGAAATTAATAAATTTTCTCTTTTTATTGAATCTACCTGTTCCTTATTATAAATATCAATAATTGAATTATTACCGTCTAATGTATCAGATTTTTCACTAGCTTCACTATCTCCTGAACCTTCATCATGATTTGTTTTCAAACTTTTTATTAGGATGTCATAACATAAACTATTATCTCCCATTATTTGTTTTAGTTTTTCAAATATTTGATCTCTATTTTTCTAAAAAAATATAAATAGCAAAAAAAAAAAAAAAAAAAGATAGAAATGAATAAAATATTATTGATTATTCTTTATTTTAAATAAAATTACATTATGATTATCCAATTCTTCTAAGAACACCTTTATATCATCAATATATTTATTTATTTCATTTTCAATGTTTTTCATTTCTTTTATATATTTTTTTTTTTGTTTTCTTAATTTTATTTCTTTCTTTTGCAGTTCCATCAATATATTATTTTTTTCATCAATAGAAATAATTTTCAAACATATATATTTTATAATCCTTATAGCTTGTATTCTTTTCATATTTAATGAATAAATTTGATTATCAAATTGTTTTATCATTTTTTCTATTAAATATTCTATGTGTTTTCTATCATAACTTTTATATTTATTTTCAAAAAACTTCTGATCAAAATTGACGCTAGATATTTTAAATGTTTTTGTTTTTTTCTCTTTTAGAAAAAAAAAACTTTTAGTATTTTGTAGAAATAGTTCCAATTTTTTTTTTTTGTCTATTTTTTCTTTGGCATTTTCTTTTTCATCCTTTTTACTACATTTATCTTCATCTTTTTTATTTTCTTTTTCTTCATTATCATATTTTTCATTATTTTTACACAAATATTCTTCTTCTTTATTGTTTACTTTATTTTCATTTTTTAATACTTCTTTTAAAAACAATATTTCATCTTTTAATCGGATAAGTTTCTAAAAAAAATAAAAAAAATAAATAAAGAAGTACAAATGAAAATATAACAATATAATTTTTATACATTATATTATTTTTTATTACAAATGAAATTCTAGACTTTAAAAAATTAAAATCTTCATTGAATACTTCTTTAATAAAATTTATTTGATTTAATAATTTTTTTTTATTTTCTTCATAATTCCTAATTATTTCACTTTAGACAAAAAATATTATATATATATATATATTTTATTTATTTAAATTGATTATGCATATAAGCATTTTTACAAGTATATATATAAATGTACATACGTAATATGAGATATCTTTTTAGGAGATTGACTTATTTTTTCTTCTTCATTAATTTGATCTAATTTAGAAATTATATCTTCATACATCTTTATTATTTTTTTTTTTTGTGATATCTCTTCTATTTTTTGTTCATCATTTATCGTCTTTAAATTTTTATTTCTTTCTTTTAATATTTCAAAATTTTCTATATATTCATTAATTTCTCTTGTTATATCGAATGATTTTTTTTCCTTTTTTTTTCTTATCTTTTCTTTTTTACTTTTTTTATATTCTTTACATTTATTATTTTTCAAATATATTTTTATTCCTTTTGTAGAAACACTTTTATTGACACTATACAATGGGTTTTTTGTAAATTTTAATCTTATATATTTTTTTGAAAGGTATTCTATCCTTCTATCATAAATTTTTTGATTATATATAAAGAAATTTTTTATGTCTTGAATTTTTTCCTTTAAATTTAGATATAAGTAATATGAAAAATAAGTATCTATTATAAATTTTTTTCTTCTATTTAATTTTTGATATTTTCTTTTCAGTTTTTTTATTTTTATATTAACATTCTTTTTATATAACAAAGCTTTTCTTATTTTGTCTTCATTTTTCTTTGCTTCTTTTGTTTCTCTTAAGCTATATTGAATATCTTCATCCTTAATATTATCGTTTAAATTAAAAAATATATTCATATTTTTTTGATCATAATTTAATATCAAAACAATCTTTTTATTATTCTCTTCTGCTTCTTCTTTTTCACCTGACTTTTCATTTTTTCTTATAAAATTCCATATATCCATTATGTCATTTTCTTTTTTTTTATTTTCTTTTTTTTCTGTTTCTTCTAGATTAAATGAATGAATGATAAAATTTAAATCATTTTCTAAATCTTCAAAAGTAAAGGGAATAATGTTGTTCTTTTTTTTTTTTTTTTTTAGAAATTGATCTACTAAGTAATCATGTATTTCTTCAACAAAAAAACCAAATAGAGAATCATAAGTTATCAAATTTTTATTTTTCAATGAATACAAATATTTGCTTATATTTAAATGATATCTTTTACTGATATTAAATAAATGAAAAAGAGAAAAAGTAAAATTTAATTTTATATACTTGTTATGTAAACATATAAATATATATTGTTTATTGGTATCTTTGCTTACAAAAAAGTCTTTTATTTTTTCATAAAATGGAATTTTAATATAATAATAAAGGAATAAAAATTTTATAGAAAAAATGTATATTTCATTATTATTTGTTAGACAGAATAATAGGTGATTTTTTTCATTTATTATCATTTTTTGTATGACGGTTTTTTCTTGAAAATATTTATTATTAATTCTATATACAATAATAGGATATATAGTTTTAAAACCATTTTTTTTAATTCCTTTATTATTAAGATCTAAATAAAATATACAATTATTTTTTATTCCAAAAGTACTAATAAAAAAACCTTTATTTTTTAGTTTAACTAAGCTACATATATTTATTTCATCTTTTTCTATATTTTTGAAATTATAGCTTTTTTCTTCTTCTTTTCTTTCATTTCTTTCAAGGTTTAAGCTTAAAGAAGAAGGATGTTCTTTTTTTAACTTTTCTAACTTTTTCATAGTATTTTCATCGAAAAGAATTTCAATATATTTTTTTAAATTTTTTTTTTTATTTTCACAAATTATATTTTTTTTTTTTTCTACACTTGTATCATTCATATTTTTTGTTAGAATAATTCTATCTCTGTAAAAATTCATTTTATTATATGAATCATCTGATAAATCGCTTGAAGAAGTATTTAATTTATACTCATTTCCACTTATATTTTCACATTCATTTTCTTCATTATTATTATTGTCATAATTATTAAAAATAACAAAATCATCATCACTTTTATATTTTTTATTATTATCATGTTTTTTAAATTGTATTTTAATTATTTCATATTTTAAACTTAAGTCATATACATTGTTATTATCTTCATTTGTTTCCTCATCTTCATTTTTATCTATTTCTTTTATTTTGTTTATTTTTTTAATTTCTTCATTTTTCTTTATTTCTTCGTTTTTTGTTGTTTCATCTTTTTTATTTTCTACTTCATTTTTATCTATTTCCAGAATTTTTTTTTTTTTTATTTCTCTTAAACTTTCTACATCAATTTTAAATAAGTAATTATGATCTCCTAATAAGTAAAATGAATTGAAAAAAGAAAAATAGAAGCAATTTTTTATAAGGCACTCTGAAATTTTTAAATAACCCAATGGTTTAAACTCATTATAACATTTAAATAAAAAAAAAACAAAGGGTTCCTTTTCAGATATAACACATATAAATTCACATTCTTCATTCTTTTCAATTTTTACAATTTGATTATTACTAGTTTTTAAAGAATAAATAATATCTAAATATAAATGTTTTATTTTAATAATTTTTATTAAGCCATTGTTAAAACCAATACAAAAATAGAGAAAATTATTTTCAGTATATAAATATTTTAGACATGTAATAGAATTTTTGAACTTATATAAACAAATATTTCTTTCAATTCCATCATCATCTTTTTCATAATCATATATTTTTCCATTTGTCCCAAAACTAAAAATATTTTTATTAAAACAAAAAATATTTTTAATTTTACTATTGTGATCATTATAAAATATAGCTATTTCATCATAATTATTTTTTTTAGATGCATAAACGGTACAATTCTTTTTGTCAATAATTAAAAAAAAATTATTATGAGAAATAATTTTATTAATATTTATGGAAATTTTAAATTCTTTTATTAATCTAATTGTTAAAATATTTCTTTCTGAAATTTTCGAAATATTAAAATTGCATTTCCATCTAAAATAGAAAAATTAATAAAAAAAAAAAAAAAATATAAGGTGAATTAATATTATATATCTTTGTAAAATTTTAACGAAAAAAACTTTAAAATTAAAAACAAATAAAATATAAAAATATATACATTTTTAAGAATTCATTTCCTTTTGTAGTTATATGATTTTCATAATAATGTATATAAGTAATTATGTCTTTATGAAAATATTCTCCTATATTTTCATTTTTAATTTCTTTTTTTTCATCCAAATTCTGTAGTAATCATATTAAAAAGAATAAAGTATATAAATATATAAATATATAAAAAAAAAAAAAGAGAAATGTATACATAATTAATTGTAAATTTTTATATCTAATTAAACCTTCCACAAAAATATATTTCCATTTGAGGTTACAATTAAAATATTTCTTTCATATATACAAAAACAATTGACAAAAATATTTTCTTCTAATTCCAAGTTATTTTCCTTTAGTTTTAAACCTAATAAAAAGTTACTTATTTAAATGAATAAGATATAATATAATATTAAAAGAAAATTAATACCTGTATATGTTTTTTCTAGATTCCATAAATATAATTTACTTCTTCTTAAAATTATAAAAAAATCATAGTACCTAAAAAAAAAAAAAAAAGTAATTTTATTAAAAATTTTTTATTTCTTTTGTATAGAAATAAATTTTATAATATTAATCATTTAATTTTTAAAAATTTTTTAATTCATATTTATTAGAACAATTATTATTAACTTTGTTTTATATAAAAATTTGTTCTCAATTTTTTTTTTTTTTTTTTTAACATATTACTGTAAAATATTAGTATATTCTAGATGTATATTTATATTAAAAATGAAAATTCTTTTTTCTGAATCAAAAACTTTTAATATACTTTTGTTAGTTATCAATAAAAAATAATTGTTTTCTTTTTGAATATAAATTTTTTCATAATAATCATAATCGTTTAAAATAATTTCTTCTTTAAGAATATGTTCATCTATACAATATATTTGTATGCCTTAATATCCAATCAAAAAAAAAAAAGTTCAATATGCAACTTTCACATGCATGTAAATATATATATATATATATGTATAGATATATATAGATATATATGAATGACTTTAGGTTATTTTTATTAACATAATTAACTCTATGCTTCATTATATATATATATATATAATTATATATTAATAATGATTATTTATCTAAAAAATTATTTTTAAAACTTATTTTTAAAACTTATATTTTATGTTCCTTTCAATATACAAACATCCTTATTTATAAAAACAAAAAGAATACATAATTTTATTTATTCATACTTTTTATATAAATATGTACATTTTAATTAAATTATCTATTTTATTATATTTTTAAGAATTACAAGAATATTTTAATGAATTATATAAAACAATTATTAACAATTCTTTGTATAAAGAAGAACATGTTATGTTATAATCGTTTTTTGTAAAAATTGTTTTTAAGCTTTTAATTAAAGGATTATATATATTAATTATATTATGAAGAAAAAATATAATGTTAGAATTTTTTAAAATAAACATATCAACATTTAAATTTATTCCATATAAATAAATTTCTTTTATCAAATTATAATGTATAATATTTTCTTTATTTATATCAAAAATATCATTTCTACATTCATCTCTATCTTCATTGTGATTTTCACATTTTTCTAAATTTTCGTATGCATATTCGTTATTATAATTAACATTATCATTTAAAGTATTTATCTGAATGATGTTTTGATCATTTATATCACTTTTATGGAAATTAGAAAAAACATTTCTTCTAAGTTTACAAAAAATACCAATGTGTCTAGTAAATAAGGAGTTCTTCATTTTATATGAGTGTTAATGTCACATAAATAATGAATATATGTTTAACACTTTTTTTACTTTTTTAAAGTTATCATTTAACAAAAAGGGATTAAAAAAAAATTATAATGAAATCAATAATTTTAAGAAAGAGATAATATTCTTTTTTATATGTAAATTTTTATTAAATTATTCTTCTATTAAAATATTATTTTTTTTTTTTATTATATATAATGCACCTATTAATAATATATCCGATGTTATTTTTTTTTTTTTTTTTTTTTATACCAAAAATAATTTTACCAATTTATAACATCTATGTATTTTCATCACTTTTTTTTAATTTTAATTATATTTTTACAATTTTTCTTTTCATTATTTTATTAAATTTATCTATATTTATTAGGTAATCATACATCTTAAAAAAAAGTAAAAAAAATACTTACATTTTTATATTTAATTTTTTTTTTTTTTTTTTTTACTATTCTAATAACTCTTAGAAATTATTAAGATAGAAAATTTTTTAAATTTTAAGTGAAAAATGTAAATATATATTTATGTATTGATAGAAAAATATATTTTTTATTTCTATTTAAATCATTTTACTTTTTCTCTAATAATTATCCAAGAAAAGGAAAATACCTTAAAGTAATAACTAAATAAAACAATTTTAATCTTAAAGCTAATTATATATTTTTAAATAATATAAGTTTTATTTAAAAAAAAAAAAAAAAAAAGAAATTATGTAATGATAAAACGAAAATATAGTTATAAGAATTATAATAATAAACATTAAACAAAAATAATGAGAAAAATAAAAAAAGAATATTATTTATAAGGTAATAGTTTAAATAATTATAGAGTAAAATATTAGTATTAATAATATATTTTAAAAAAAAAGGGAAAAATATAAAAAAAAAAAAAAAAAAGTAAAAATTGTAATATCTACTTTAAAAGGAAACAATATAAAAAAAAAATTATATATATATATATATATATATATATATATATATATATATATATATATATTTTAAAAAAAAAAATAAGGTTATTTTTTTATTTATTTTTAGATATATATTTGATCGAATTCTTTTTTTTTTTTTTTTTTTTTTTTTTTTTTTATGATAATTTTTATTTTTTTTATATTTATTATAATTTTCCTTTTTTTAAAAATTTACTTCAAATTCCATACTTCTATATCCATAATTTGAAAATCATATCCACTGGATATAAGAGGTGGTGATAAAAAGGATTCTGATGAATTTGTTTTTCCATACTTGATATCTTTATCAATAAATAAGGCAATATCATTTCCTCCTATATATATACCATCTTTTATTAATACAAGAGTATTATTCTTACCTGACCATCTATAAAATTTAAATGTAGAATTAAAAGTACACAAAAATGCAGAACTTTTATCAGAGTCCTTAAAAAAATCATAATCTCTATTTAATGAAAATGGACAAAAAAATCCTAATAAATCATAATCAAAGGTTTTCAAAATTAAAATCATAGGTTTTTTTTTATTCTTTTCTGTTTTCTCTAACAACATTTGTAAATTGTATCCATCTTTTTTAGAACAAAATGTTAAAAATGGATCTAATGATCTAATATTACTTGGAATTTTTTCCCAAATATTTTCCCAATGAAATGAATTAATTAAACGAGAGTTATCATTTAATCTTGGTCTATAAAATGTTTTTATTTTTACATTCATTAAATAAGGGGATGGACATTTTGTAGAAAATTTCAAATATTTTTCTTTACTTTTCAATTTAAATTTATATGCTATTTCTGTTAAATCATTTATATTTAAATAAGGATGCATACATATATGATATAAAATATTTTCTACCTCTTCAATATTAGTACATTTTAATATATCATTTTCTAAAAATTTAAGTAAAGCTAAGCAGTATAAACATAATGTTTTTTGCCCTTCAAATAAAAAAGTACCATAAATTCTTAAAACAAAATCAAATGGTAACATTCTTGAAAATCCATCTTGAATACATCTTGCCGTCCATGCAGCCAAATCAAAATTTAATTTCCTCAAGTAATAATAACATTTTGGTAAAAATTGAATAAATGAATTCAAAATATATTTCACATACTTAACAAAATCTTTCCTTTTATAAACAAAAAATGGTGGTTCTTTATTTTTTATGCTATCTATACCCTTTTTAATTAAACAATGTATAATACAATAAACAACAGAAGCTTTAAAATATATTAATAAAATTATGCACAAATTTGGAATAATAGGTGCAAATTCTACATCATTCCCAAAATTATTATTTATAGCCCATAGTAATTTTTTTATTTCATGTTTTCCATTATCATTTAATAATGCAGTTAATTCCGTTGCATCATCTAAATTATATACATTTGGATATGTATTATTTTTATTAATATTTTCATAAAATTTATTATATAACTCTTTTTCAGAATTTTGATTTTCCTTACTATTATAAGAATAATTATTTTTTTTTATTTTTTTATTTAATTCATCTTCTTCCATTCCTTTTTCATTTTCCTTCTCCTTACTTATTATTTTTTCTTCTTCATTTTCTTTCTCTTTTTCTTCATCACTATCATCTTTATAATAACAAAATATCAATTCTTTTTTTTTTTTTTTTTTTTCATCTATTTCCCTATTTTTATTTATTCTTTCATTTTCTTTATCAGATGTATCATTTTCTCCTTTTCCTTCATCAAACTCATCTTTAAAATTAATCTTTTTCTTTTTTTTTTTTGCTTTTTTTTTTTTTTCTTCATTTAATGGGTGACTTGAAGGTAACTCAAAATTCTCTAAATCATTATCATATGCAGTATTATAAGAATAATTAAGTATATTATTATCTTCTTTTTTTTCCTTATAATCATCTTGATCTTCTTTTTTCTTTAAGTAAAATTCGTTCAATTTTTCTTTTTGTATTTCTTCATCTCTACCATTCTCATTTTTTTTAATATAAGATGAATAACTATCTAATTCTTCATATTTAGCATAAAAATTATCTTCTTCATCTAATAAATTACTAGCTGTGTATTCATTTATTGTAGTCAAATCGTTCATATTTGAATCATTATCATCCTTTTCAAAGAATTTTAACTTTTTATTTTTATTATTCGACATTGTACTTTTGATTTTTCCACTTTTTGAAAGAAAGCTTTTGTTGTTCCTCTTAATGTGTTCTTTATCACTAAGTGTGTAACTGCTTTTTTTATTATATATACAATTTAATGCATTTGAATGGTTAGAATAATTCTCATGATTACTAATAACAATGTTATATTTATTGCTATTTTTTGTTAAAATAGCATTATTATTAATAATATAATTATTGCAATTAATTTTATTACTATAATCATTATTATCAATAATAGCATTATAATTACTATTTTTATCATTGTTATTATTAGCACTGTTAGCAGTATACTTATCTATAGATGAATTAAAAGTATTATAATGAATCTTTGAATTTATGTCATTTTGTTCATTAATACAATTCTCCATTTTATCTTCTTTTATGTCATTAATACAAATATTATAGTTTAAATTTTTGTCTTTTTCTATATATTTTTTCTTAGCATCATCTGAATCACTTTTTTTCTTATCCTCAGTTGTTTTATTAAAAGTATTATTCTTATTATAATAATTATCTTTTGTTGATACTATATTTTTTTCTATAAATGTATTTTCATGATTACTTGGATATTTTATTAATGATATTTCATCATGCTTTGATTTTTTTCTTTTATAAAAAATATTTTTTATTTTACCAAAAATAGATTTCTTATTATGTTTTTCATTATTTTTAAGATTATAAATTTCACTTCCATCAAAATCTATTGATCCACGATCATTTTGTTGAATCTCTTTTGAATTAAATAAACTTAATTTCATTACATCTTCTTTTTTTTTTTGATGTTTTTTATTACTTTCTATTTTTTCTTCTAATTTTGTAATTATATTATGTTTACAACTACTTTTACATTTTTCTTCATTGCTTATTTTATTTTTTTCCTTATAAATATCTTTTTTTTTTTTTTTTTTTTCATGTTCTTCTTCCATATATTTTTTATTATCCTTCTCATATTTCATGTTTTTTTCTATTAAAGAATTATCTAGACTTAAACTAGATGTCATTTTTTTTTCTCTATTATCTGTATGTAAGTTTTCTCTTAATAATAATGATATATGATCTGATAACTTTCTTTCATTATTTTTATAAGTATGTTTTGAACTAAATGTTTTTTTGAAAAAACTTTTCGTTCGATTATAACTATTATTCTTATTTAAGCAAAAATTATCCATTTCATCATTTAATGTTTTTTCATTAGAATAACTTGATAAAGAATTATTTGAGTCTGGTACTCCTAAACTTGTATTAGACTCATTAGAATTTTTCGTTTTTATATTATCTTTTTGTTTTATTGATTTTTTTTTCCTTTTAGTTCTTAAATATAATTTTGCTTTATTCATTTTTTCTGCCTGTTTCTTACTAATTATATACTGTTCATTCATATAATATTGAATATGGAAATATTTATTTGATTCGGAAGTTTCTTTATTCATTAAAAGTAAATCACTTTGAGTATTACTTTTATTTACATTATAATTTAAGTTAGTAGAATCACTTTGCTTATCATTAACATTGTTAAAAATTATAATATCATCTTTAATCAGAATATTTTTATCATTCATACTACAACTAGATATTTTAAAATTATTTTCCATGTGGCTATTATTATTGTTAACAGAATTGATATTTTCTTTATTTTGATTTTTATCATATAAATTATTATTATAATTATTATTTATACAACTATTTGATATATTTTTAATTAAAAAGTTGCTAGAATATGGTAAAACAGAATCCGATGAAACTCTTAAATAATTGTCAATTTTTTTATTCTTTAAAATTTTATTTTTCACATTTTCGATGTATAAAAATTTTTTTTTTTTTTTTTTATTAGCAAACCCAAAATTTGGAGTACTTAACGTTTTGGGTTCTAACCAAAAATTATGTTCTGGTAATAAATATTTATCACTATCTTTTTCATTTTCATTTGGATTATTAAATAATAGTTGTAATATATTACTAGTTGAATCATTAATATTAAAATTATTACAATCATCATTATTCTCTATTTCTAATTCTTCTATTTTTGTTTGAACACACATTATATCTTCCTGTAAACCTAATATACCTCCACAGAATGTTGGACAATCATTTGATAAATTAGTTGGTATTTTATCACCAAATGTATTGTATATTGTTGTTTCATAAAAATTTGGGAAATTTATTACAAAATAATTTACATCATTCGAACGTATCCATATTAAATGTTTTAGTGAATCTGATACTCCCCTAAAAAAAAAAAAAAAAAATAAAATAAAATAAAATAATCATAAATTTTTAAATTTCAATAATATATTAAAAATATAAATTCATAATTTATATATATATATATATATATATATTTCATAACCTTCTAAGTAAGTTTTTAACATTTTTATCCATTAAATTTGAGTCAACATTTAATACCATATCTAATGATTTCTCATTCCAGTGTTTATTTTCATCTTTCTATATAAAATTAAAATCAAATAAGGCAAAATAATTAAAAATGCAATTTAAATTATATATATAAAAATATTTTAATATATTTACATCAATGTTTAAATTTCTCCATTTTTGATATACATCTAAATTTAGATATATATTGTTATAAATATTATTTTTATTTATTAAATGATGATATTTATTTTTTTGAGATTGAAAAATTTCGTCTGTTTTGGTTTCCTTATATATTTTTTTCATTTTAAGAACTTTCTACATTTTTCATCTATATATAATTATGGAAAAAAAAATTATATTAAAAAAAAGTAAAATGGAAATAAAAAGAAAATTTAAAAATAATGTTTTAAAAAGGTTTACTTAAAATTTGTTTCAAAAAAATAGTTATAATAAAGGGAAAAATATATATATTAAAAAAAAAAAAAAATTAGATCATAATCAAAAATATGTTATCTTTATATATATAAGACAATAAAAAAAAATAAAATAAAATTCTTAAATAATGATTCAATTAAATCATAAAAAAAAAAATTTCATTTATATATTAAAAAGATTTCAAAGAAATAATATTTATATATTAATTACATGTAAAAACATTATTAATATTCAGAAAAAAAAAAAAAAAAAAAAAAAAAAAAAAAAAGAGAAAAAAATACAAAATTCTTGGTAAATTAAAGAAAACAAAAAAAGAAAAATAAATTTAATAATATTAATTTCAACTTTTTAATTTTCTCTATATAGACAAATATATTTAAATTTATTATTTTGTTAGGAATTAAAATATTAATGAGAAATATAAATGACTAATGAATTATGATAATTTTTTTGTAGAAAAAATTGTACATACTCTTAATATATTAGTATATAAATGTTTATAAAAATTTTAAAAAATTAAATTTTATGCAAATAAAAAAAAAAAAATGTTTATTATAAAACATTATTAGCATTAAAATAATATATAAGCATAACAAAAAAAAAGAAAAAGAAAAAGTAGAATTAATTTCACTTTATGTATTAATGTATGATGAATATAAAAAAAAAAAAAAAAAAAATTAATATATAATAAATTATGAGAAAAAAAATTAATAGTACAAATTAAAAAAAAATTTAAAAAAAAACGAAAAATAAAGTAAAAAAAAAAGAGAAGGTATAAAATTTATATAAATATTTATTTTTATAATTAAAGAATATATTTTTTTACATGAATATTTTTGTTTTGTAAAATCATAATATATATATATTTATATTAAATATTTGTGCTATTACAAATAATAATGTTGAGCTTAAAACTTTTGTTTAAAATTTTATCTTTTCATCACTTTGAAACTTTTAAATAAGAAAAAAAAAAAAAAAGGAAAGTTGAAGTTTAGCTAATTAAAATACAATTTTTTTTTTTTTTTAACAGCTTTACTCTTATGTTTTCAATAACTATTAAACTATTTTTAAAGCCAAAAAAGTTTCTTTGCTTTTTTACTTTGATGTGTAAAATAATTTTTCAAATTTATAATCTAAGACTTTACGAAAATATATTATTTTATTTAAAAGTAATTTATAAATATATATAGATAATTAACTCTTCTAAACTTTTATATTAACAAAAAAAAAAAAAAAGAAAAAAAAAATTTTAATTATATATATATATGCATACATTTAAAAAAAAAAAAAAAAAAAACTTCATGCATAATTATTTTGTTATTTCATAAATTTTTTAAAAATTTCGCAATATGAAGATTAGTTTTAATATACAAAAATGTTTTAAAATAAGCAGAATTTTATCGTAATATGGTGTCATCGTTGTAAAAGCTTTTTTCTTCATTTTATTTTATTTCGTTCCTTATACTGTAGTATAAATTAATTATTATTTACAACTTTATGTTTGATTCTCTTTAAAAGATTGAGCAAATAATCAAATTTATAAAAAATTGTAATTAGTGCGTTGATTTAAAATTTATTTTTCCTCCGCAAATTTATATATACATATATATATTTATTTTTACTTTTGTGAAGTTTAGTTAGTTAAAAAGAATATGTTAAAAACAAAATTTTATATTTTTTAATGATTAAAAACGTATTTAATTCAATGAAAATATAAATTAAGTTTATGTTTGTATAATAATTATAAATTTATAGATTCTAAAAGTATTTACATTCATATTAAAAAAAAAAAATAAATAAAATTAATTTAAAAAATGTTGTAATTTTAACAGCTTTGCTTTTTTTTTTTTTTTTCTAGTATTAAAAATTCTAAAATATGTAATTAAATGGGAGATATAAAGTCATCTTATTACATAATATTATATTATATGGTTAAAAAATAATTTTATCATAACTAAAAAAAAAAAATAAATAAATAAATAAATAAATAAACTAATAAAAAAAATATATTTTTATGAAGTTATCAATTTATATATATCCGAATGACAGTTTTGCAATTTTTCCGTAATTTCCTTATCACAAAAACTTAAACGAAAGGAATGTTTAAAACACTTATATAAATCCTCAGTGTAGGGTAAGCACTCTCTTGAAATTCTATAAAGTTAAAAAAAAGTGTGTATAAATAAATACATATAAATTTTATTTAAAATATTTAAATAAATTTTTTTTTAATTTTTTTTTTTTTTTCTACATGTGTGATGCCGAATTTATAGCTTTATTTAATTGATTTGAACATTTTTCATTACTGTTATTATTTTCTTTGTTTGATTGTATGCATAATTTATAATCATTGTAATCTTTACGAGAAATAAATGTATTCTGAAAATTTTAAAAAAATAATAAAATTACAATAAAAAGTATTAAAGCTATTTCAAAAAGATCAACTTAAAAATTTTCTCAAAAATAAATTTATCTCACGTAAATGAAAAATATAAATATTTCAGATTTTTTTTTTTATTTTATACACATATATATATATATATATATATATTATTTCACTTATAAATACAAATACATATTTATATCAATAATTACAAGGCATTTTTATATATTATATTTTTAATTTTATTTTATACTTACCACAGTCATTTTCCCTTTTTAGTTATATAATTAATCTTTTATATTTAAGGATATTAATAATTACTTTTATAAGTTCTATAAACGTAAAAATAAATATTTTACTAGATAAAAAAAATAATTCTTATCTTTTACACTTTTTTAAATTTTAAACTGTTTTTAAAAAATTAAAAAATTGAAAATATATATATAATTATATATGTATAATATAGTTAATTTTTCAAAAAGCACAAACAAAAAAAAAAAAAAAAAAAATTTTTTTTGTATACAGATTAGTTATTTTCTCAAAAAATATAATAAAAAAAAAAAAAAATTTAAATACTATAACAATAAATGAAGAGCTTTTAACAACGAAAGATTTTTTTTAATAAATAAAAATAAAATTTTTTATTTTAAAATAATTATTTTATTTTTGCATACACTATTTAAGTAAAATTCATATATACAAGTTTAAAAATATTAATTTTAAAATAAAATTTTAAGGATATATTAAAAAAATTTCAATAAAATTATAATCAAAAATACATAATTTTTTTTTTTTTAAATTATATATATGTAAATCTATTTAACAAAAAAAAATATTTAAAAAAAAAAAATAAAATTTTACAATATATAAAAGAAAAAATTTAATTTAAGAAATATGTTATTTTATCTATTTTTTTTTTTCGGTTATTTTTTATGTTCCTTGTATGATGTTAAAAACATTAATGAACCTTTAAGACTTTTTAGTTTGTCTTCAGTACATTTTTCATAATTCTAATAGAAAGAAAAAAATAATACAAATTATAAATATAAAACATTATTCTCAATTTATTAAAATAATTATTTATCAAGTATCTTTCTATTCTCTATATTAAATAAATTTACAATTTTTAACGTCTGGCATTGATTCATTCCGTTTTCTATTGATTTTTCGTCTCCATATGGCTGCAAATTTTTATTTATACAATCAAAAAATTTTTCCGATATTGTTTCACATCCTATGTATATATATATGAAAGTTATAAAAAAAAATAAAAAGAATTTTATACGTTAAAAAAAATAACATTTACAGAAAAAAAGAAATCTTGTTTAATAATAATATAAAATTATTCCATTATAATTACCATTCAACACAACAGGGAAAAAAGGTTTCATAATCTCGTTATTCATTTTTATTTGTATTTTTAAATATATAAATGAAAAAAAAAAAAAAAAAGGAAAAAAAAAAAGAATAATAACTTATAATAAATTATGTATACTTTTAAAAATTTTTTTTTTTTTTAAATATTTTTATTATTTTTAATTATAAATTCATATATATTTATTTATATTTATTTATTAATTTTTATTATATAATTTTTATTTTTAAGGTGCATCAAAAAGAATAACAATTTTATTTATACTATTTATGTATGCAAAAATTTATAAAAAAATTCATATATTTTGTAATAAAAAAATAATGTTGCATATACGAATATTAAAAAAAAAAATATTAAAATAAAAGATAATGTTTTTAATTTTTCTCAATTCATAAGAATATCTTGTTCCTTTTTTGAAAAACTTTAAAATCATAAAAAATATATTTAGAAAGATAAAAGATAAGCAAATTAATAATTAGGATTTAAATGATCATTTTGTGATTATTATTGTTTTGTTGTTATTTAAATAAAAAATATAATGTTTTATAAAATTTATTTATAAAACATAATTAATGAGGTTACGTTATGTAGAAAACTGTCATATTAATGTTTTGTTTAAATTATAAAGTAAAATAAAAATTATATGTACTTTTAATTAAAAATATATATGTTAATTATTTTTACACACTTGAATGAAATTTCTTTTATAGTTTTATAATTCTAGGTAAAAATAAAAATATCACATCATTATTCATATATTCGTATGTTTATGTGAAAATTTATAAATTTTAAAAGGAAAATGTATATCTATTGATTCATTGTATATAAATAAAAATACAAATAAAAAAAAAAATAATAATAACAAAACTTTAATAAAGATCAAAAATATTAAACATTTCTTACAATTATATCATTTTCCTCCTTTTTTTTTATTTATTTAGACATTACAAAATAATATTGTTATCAATCATTTCATATCTTAAAAAAAAATTTATAAAAAAACTTTGTACATTAACTACTTGTTTATTTTTAAATCACAATTTTATTTTGTCTTTATTTTTAAATTAAAATAAAATAAAATTAACATTAAAAAAAAATTAATGGATTATATATTAAACACATTTAAAAAAGAAATTAATAAATAAATAACAATAATGTATGGAAAAAAACATTTATAAAAAGGATGGATATTTTATAAAAGAAAATAAAAGATATAATAATAAGAGAAATTTGTTTGTTGTAGTTAATAATTTACATGTATAATTATTAAAAAAAAAAAAAAAAAAAAAAAAAAAAAAAAAAAAAAAGCTAATTCCATATGTTCTGGAAAAATGAGTAATTTTGTGTCTAACAATTTGAATGAGCACAAAATCTCTTTTATTCAAAGTAAAAAAGATAAAAAAAAAAATAATGAGAATAATGAAAAAGATAGATATAGATATGAATTAAATGAGCTAGAATCTTCACAAAAAGATAGCTTAATTATTGAAAAAAAAAAAAAAAAAAAGAATGAAAATAGTGTGAACGATAATGATGAGTATTATAAATATGGAAAAGAATTAGATTCTTCAAAATTTAATTCTATTGATAATATACCTTTTAATAATGTATGTTCTAAATCTATTGAAGAAAAAGAAAAAGAAGAAAAAAAAGAAAAAAAAGAAAAAAAAGAAAAAAAAGAAAAAAAAGAAAAAAAAGATAAAGAAGAAAAAAAAAATAAAAGGAAAGAAAAAAAAAAAAAGAATAAGAATATAGATAATGAAAAGGACATAAAAAATCCAATAATTACACAAAATATATTAGAAGTAGACAAAATAAATGATAAAGATAAATTCATAAAAAACGTTTCACATAATAAAGATCATTACAACAATTATGATAATATAATATTAGAATATTCTAAAAATGAAGAAAATAATAATAGTAAAATTATAACTAAAGAGAGTGAAAACAAAAAGGGTAATTTAAAAAAAAAATTAAGCAAAAAAGAAAGAAAAAAAAAAACAAATGAAAATAATAATGATAATATTAATGAAATAGGAAAAAAAGATAGTGATATTAATCAGATAGAAAAAATAGATACTACAATTTTAAATGAAAATGAAGTAGTGGGTAGCAATAAAAATGAAACACAGAATGTGTATAATAACGAAAATAAAGAGAAAAAAAAAAAAAAGTTATCATCTCCTTATATACAAATGGAAAATAGAAATTTAAAAACTTTAGAGTGTTCTAATAGAAAAGATAGTGAAAATAGTATATCAGGAAATGATTATAATAAGAACAAAAAAAAAAAAAATATATTATATTGTGAAAATATTAAAAAAAATAAAAATACAAAAGACAATATAGTAGAAATTTTAATAAATAATTCAAGTGAACATATAAATAGAAAAAATAAAAAATATATGGAAGACAATTCTGATATGTCTAACAATTTTGAACAAACAACGAAAATAAAAAATGAGGAAAAAAAAAATAATGGTTTGAAATATTACGGAGATAATTTATACAATGAAACTGTAGCATTCGATGAAATGAATAAAACAGTAATTACAAATGGAAGAAAACCTAAAGAAAAGAAGAAAAAAAAAAAAAAAGATAAAACAAATAAACTAGATAATCAAGGGAAAGAAAAAGAAAAAAAAATAAATAAGATATTGCAAATAGAAGAAAAAAGAGAAGAAGAAAATAAAGAAGAAGAAAATAAAGAAGAAGTAAATAAAGAAGAACAAAATAAAGAAGGACAAAATAAAGAACAAAATAAAGAAGAACAAAATAAAGAAGAAGAAAATAAAGAAGAAGAAAATAAAGAAGAAGAAAATAAAGAAGAAAATACAGAAGAACATGAAATAAAAGAGAATGAAAAAAAAATAAATAATGAAGAAAAAAATGAAATAGACCAATATAAATTAAAAAAAAAAAAAAATTTTGCAAGTAAAAAACTTGAATGCCATAATAAAGAAAATATGGAAAATTTAAATAAAAATTTAGATAGAGAATTTATGTATGAGAAAGAAAATGAAAAAATATTAGAAAATAATAGTAATAAAACAAAAGAAATGAATACAAAAACAACACTTGGTGTCAGTAATTTACATACTATGTGTAATACAAAAGATAATGTAAAGCATTTGGGTATAGAAAAAAAAGAAAAAAAAATTAATAAAATTGTATTTAAATTCATAAATACTTTATATGTTCATATATTTATATTATAAAAAAAAAAAACATATTTTATATAAAATCATCTATATATCCAAATACTTAAAATAGAAATTTGCAATGTATATTTCCTACTTATTTTATAATATACTTTATTATATATATTTTTTTTAGGAACTTATGAAAGCAAAGTGTGTATTGTTAATTCGTTTCAAAATATATCTAGCATCTCTTCCGAAATTTATGATAATAATAAAGATAGTTATACCTGTGAAACATTTAGCTATGATGTTAAAAAATTATTTGATTTGTCACTGTATCTTAAAAATAACATTAAAAATTTTAGAAATCTTCTAAAAGAACAGAATTTAGAAATTTATGAAAGAAAATGTATTAAAGAAATAATAATATTTCATAAGTTAAAACTGGAATACTTAAAAAAAAGTAAAAAGAAATTTACAGAAGAAAGAGATTCACGGAATAGTGAGCTTGAGGATAAAAAATTTGAACTAAATGATAGTTCAGAAGAAGATAAAGAAGAAATAATTAAAAATTTCGAAAAGTTTAATATAATATCATTAGAAGAATCAGAAGAAAATCATAATATTATATATAATAATAAAATTAGCAAAACAAGAATAAAAAAAGGAAAAAATAATGAAACGGATAAAGATGATATATCAAAAAAAGTTGAAGAAAAGGAGAAGACATTAAATTATCGAAGCAATACTAAATTATTTAATAATCAAAATCTAGGAATAAATAAAAATTCAAATAGCTCTTTTGATTATTCTTCTTTCGACAATGATACAATAAATTATAAAAAAAATATAAGCAAATTAAATACATGTGAAATTAAAATAGAAGGAAAAGACAACAATAAACTTAAAGAGGAAATTGAAAATAAAGAAAAAATTGAAATAAATAAAGAAAAAAGATCTAGTGAAAATATTTTTGAAGTAATTTATAAATTTTACGCGGAACACCCTAATGATGAAATTATTAAAAATAATTATGCATATACAAATAAGACAAATGAAGATAGTAAATTAAAAGGAATGAATTTAGAATCATTTTTAAATTTTGCAAAACATTACAAAATATTTAAAAGTTTACTTACAAAAAGTGAATTAGAAAAAATATTTTTGAATGAAACTAAAGGAAACACATATATTCAAGATAAACATTTTAAAAAGGTTTTAATGTTATGTGCACAAATAGCATTTACAAAACCACCTCATAAAGTTAACTTTACTGATACTAAGAAAATTTATTTTTCTTTAATTTCCTGGCTTTCTAATAACTCACCAGAGGATCAAAAAGAGAAAATTTTAAAAGCAGCTGCAACATTAGATACAACAAAAGAATATAATAGAATAATAGAAAATCAAAACAATAATACTAAAAAATTGACAGATAACAAAATAAAAATGCTGAAAAGTAGGCAATCTTCCATTTATATTAATGATAAAGATAAAAAAAAGTAAATAATGTTGTAGTATCTAATCCATTAAAATTTGATATTCTTTAAAATAATTCAGAAAAATTAAAACATATTGGTAATAACACAAACTTAAATTTAGAACATTTAAAGAATTGTAAGAAAATATAATTTATATTTTTTAAAAGAATTATATATTACTATTATTTTTTCTTCTTTTAAATATTATTTTAATTCTAAATTTACTAAAATTTTTAATACAATAAATTTTACAATTAAAAACAATGTATATTTACAATTATTAAGAACTATTAATTTTTTGTATTTTATATAAATTGTTTATTAATTTTCCAAAATTTTAATTTAAACATACATCAATAAATTATGATTATTTATTTTCTATTATTTTTTATGAAAATTATTAATTTATATATATATATATATATATATATATATATATATATATATATATATATATATATATATATATATATATATATATATATATTTTATATAGAAACTTATCAGTAATTTTTTTTTTTTTTAAATTTACTTGATAAATTAATGTCAACATATAAAAAGAAAAAAATTTTTTAAATGAATCTTCTAAATTTAAATAAAAAAAGAGAAAAAAAGGGACATAAAAATATTAAACGAATATAAATTTAAAAAAAAAATTTTATATGTTATCGAAATTTTTTCTTATTGAAAAATTGAATAATTAAAAAATAACAAAAAATATATGAAGTAAAAAAAAAAAAAAAAAAATATACAATAGTTCATATACAAAAATAGACAAAATAACATTCAAGGAACAAATGATTTATATTGTATTTTTTTTTAATCTTTATAATAATTTGCTCACATCATCATATGGTATATGTTTTGTAATAATTTCATCTACATTACAAAAAAAAATTAAAAAAAAAAAAAAAATGATTTGTATTTTTTTTTACTTTTTATAAATAAGAAAAAAATACATTTTAATTCTATTCATACTTGAATTTTTATCATCCAAAGCAACTAAGACAACTTCTTCATCAACTAAAATCTAAGAAATAAAGGGAAAATTTTAAGTATATAATAATATGAGTAAAAAATTAAAAATGAAATAATATATGCTTAAAGATACTCTAAAATAAAATAATATAAAAAATTTGAAAACATATATACTATGATTATATTCTTCATAATATATAAAACTTAAATATTTTTGAAAATATTTTATATTAAATGTATAAATTTAAATTAATAAATTATAATAATAAAAAAAATTTTTTGAAATATAAATAAACAAATACCTTTTTAATTTTTCCCTTTAAACCTTTATACTTTCCTTTCAAAATTAAAACTTCTTTACCAATTTTTGGTATAACTGTTTGAAGCTGCTTTTGATATGCAGTGAATATTTCCTTATTGTCCATTCTTATTTCACATTTTTTTTTATCATTTGAATATAATGATATTATAACACCTTTTTTGTTATAATATTTATGTTTCTTATCAACAACTTTAACCACTATGTTTTTGCAAATCCATATATTATCTTCATCTTCATTATTTTGATAATCTCGATTTATTTTTTTTTCATTTTCTTCATAAAGTTTCTTAGTTTTATCAATATTATTTTGATAATTACTTAAATCTGATGTATCTCCTTTTAATTTTTTTTTTTCTTCATTTTCTAAAATAAGTAAATCTAATGAAGATAATGGTCTTTTCTTTGATAATTCCTTTTTATCATTATCTTGTTTATTCAATAAACCATCTGCTTTTTTTTTCTTCTCTTCGCTCTTTTTTAAAGCTTCATTTAAAAATATGTTAATACTTGGTTTTGTTACTTGGCTATTATCTTTTGCTTTAATAGATGATATAACAATTTTTTCATCATTTTTTTTTTTTATTCCTGTATACTCTGATTCAATAAATTTTCCCTCTTTTTTTGCTTCTTCAATGGCTTTATTGATTCTCTTTTCTTTCAATTGCTCATAAGAATAATCTATTTTTTTTCTTTCTTGAAAGGATTTCTCTCTCTCAATTTTTTCTCTATCAATATATTCTAAATACCATCCTCTTTCCGTTTGCTCAATTTTACACTTTCCTGTTTTTCCTAAATATAAAACAAAATCAGTTAAAGTAACCCATACAGTAGCATTCATGTGTATGTGGGTTTTATCACTTATCAAATTCGTATATACAGTATTAGCCAATATACGTGTTCTGCAAAATCTAGTCTTCATTAATCTCATGAATTCTTTTTCAAACATAGAGGAATATTCATCCATAAATTTATTTGCATCCTGACAAAATATTTGCATTTGTCTTTGGTGTGTTTCCGATAATCTATGACATTTAAAACCATTTTCATCTCTACATTGTTTTTCACACATCTGACAATACCATTTCAACTTCTGAAGGCCTTTTGCCTTCATCTTATTCGCTAGCCATTTTGGTGTTCCTGGTTCTGCACGAGGCATGTCTCTGTTTTTATTTCATTAATTTAAAAAAAAAAAAAAAAAAAAAATTTAATGTTATTATTTTTTTTTTTTTTTATAAAATGTCGGAAATATAAAAAAAAAAATATGTTTCCTAAAAATTATTATTACTGTTAGAAAAAGTCATTGCTAAAAACATATCATTTTCGTTTAAAGTGATAAAAATGAGTTGTAATAAAAGAAAATTTTTCAGTAAATATATTAAGTATTATAATTGATATTTTTATATTTTCTGTTATTTAATTTATTGTATTATTTTTTTTCATTTTCATTTTTCTATTATATATGTTATTTTTATTTTAAATTTATGTCATTTTTTCTGTTTTTTTTTTTTTTTTTTTTTTTTTTTTTTATTTNTTTTTTTTTTTTTTTTTTTTTTTTTTCCTTAAAGTATTTAGAAAATTATTTTATAAAAAAAAATTGTAAAATTTACCTTGATGTTTTTTTTTTTTTTGAAGGAAAAGAAAAAATATACAAATATATAACATTCAAGATTTACAATATATGGATATTAGAAAAATATATAATTTGAAATTTTTTTTTAAAAAATATTTCCTATATTTGTGAGATTTTACATTATTTTTTTTTTAAAAAGTATACGAATAAAAATATAATTATGACAATAAATATATTTTAATGGGAGAATGAATATAAAAAATATATACAGCCGTTTTCATAGATAATATAAAATTAAATTCTGAAAATATAAATTAATATAAATAACTTATATATAAATAAAAAGAAAAAAGATATAATTATACACTATAAATAAAAATTGAAGTAATTTTAAAATAATGAGCTTTTTTAAGAACTTGGATTTTTTTTTTTTTTTTGATAATTAAGCTATAATATGGAGAATAAGAATGATTTTTATATGGAAAATAATTATAATGTTTATTCTGCAAGTTATCTTGGATCATTCAATATATGTTTATAACTTTACAATTAATAATAAAAAGAAAATTACATATTTAAAATATGGAAATCAAATAATGAATAGGGGGGGTATCATCCCTTTTAAAGATCCCAAAAAAAAGTATTATAATGTTTCCTTTTTGTTGCGAACAACTTCTGAAATTCAAGAAGAAAATAAATTATCTGAAACTTTTTGTAAAATGGAAAATATTAATGAAAAAGAAAGTTCTTTATTTGATGAGATGGATTTATTTCATAATGAAGGAATACAATTAAAGCAGTGGTATTCAGCACAAAAAGTAAAAGAAGCATGGAAAGAAAAACATATTGAAAATATTAAAAGTAATTATAAAAAGGTTTTATTAAATAATAAATATAATGAATTATTTAACATGTATAGAAATGTAAATAATAACAATGTGGAAAATTATAAAAAGAGAGTAAAAACTAATAGGATAAACCCTGTAATTTATGTTAAAAAACGGTTAGTTTCAGCTACTGCTAAATATATAAAAATGTCATTTATTAAAACAAGAAAAATTTTATGGAAAATTAGATATATGCCAATAATTAAGGCATTTGCATTTCTTTATTATTATGGAACTAATAAATATACAGTTAATATTTACAAATGTATAAAATCATGCTTACATAATGCTATTAATAAATATGGAAAAAATAATATAAAACCAGTTTTTCATACCCTTCAAGCTAACATGGGTGGATATACAAAAAAAATTAATATAAGGGCAAAAGGAAAAACGGATATTATACGTGAACCTCATACACATATACGTGTTGTTTTAGAAGTGTGAAAAGAGAAGAAAGAAATAATGAAATATAAAAATATCAATATATTTTACATAATCATTCTAATTATATTTTATTTTGTTTTTTCTTTTTTTTGTATATATATATTTTTTTTGTCCATATTTTTCATTTTTTTTTTTTTTTTTTTTTTTTTTACTGAAAACATTAACTTAAAAATAATAAATAATATTTATATTTTAAAATAATTTTAATTTTACATATAATATTCACTTAATTTTCTTTATATTCCTTATAATTAGAGATAAATTAAAAAAAAAAGCTATGTTGTGTGTAAATGTATTTTTATTCAATTTTTTTCAAATTATCAAATATTGATATAATGCGAAAAAAAAAAAAAAAAAAAAAACAAATATATAAATTCATATAATGATAATATATCTTTAAAAAGAAAAAGTATGTCTAATGTAAAAAAAAAATACCTTAAATAATATATAAAAACATATTTACTTCTAGAATTTAATAATTTCCTTTCTTATATATATCCATAGCTTTTTTCTTTGACCAATTATGTATTTCAAAAATTTGATTCATTAAATCTTCGCTATTTTCTGAGACTTTTTGTATTTGAAAGGACTCTAAAACTTGTGATATAATAGCTGATATATCAAAATATTTTATTTTATCATTTAAAAATAAATTATTACATATTTCGTTAGATGCATTAAGAACTGTTGGAAAGAAGTTTCCCTTTTTCCCTGCATGATAAGCTAATTTAATACATGGAAATTTATCTAAAGAAGGTTTATAAAATGTAAGCGGAGATGTTTCAACTAAATTTAATGGTTTCAAATTCGTTTTTATTCTATTAGGCCATGTTAAAGCATATAAAATAGGAATCTTCATATCCGGATAATACATCTGACTTATAACAGATTTATCAACAAATTCAACACAAGAATGAATTATACATTCTTTATGAACTATAACTTCAATATTATCATAATTTACATCAAACAGAAAATGAGTTTCAATAACTTCTAATCCTTTATTCATCATTGTTGCAGAATCAATGGTTATTTTTTTCCCCATAGTCCATTTAGGATGTTTTAAGGCATTTGCTGAAGTAACATTTTTTAATTCATTAAGAGAAATATTTTGAAAGGGTCCTCCAGATGAACATAAAAAAATTTTATTTATATTATTTATTTTCGAAAAATTATCTTGCAAACATTTAGTTTTTAGTACCTTATTGTTATCTAGACATTGGAATATAGCACTATGTTCAGAATCAACTGGGATGACAAATGAATTTTTATTAACATTTAGTAATTTCTTTAAAAAAAATCCAGCTGATACAATAGATTCTTTATTAGCTAATGCAACAATTTTATTATTTTTAATTGCATATATTGTTGAATAAATCCCTTGAAAAGAATCAATTCCAATTACTATTTTATCTATAGTATTATCATTACATATTGTTTTCATGCCTTCATCACCAATTAATATTGTTGGATGGTAATTTTTTATATTAAGTAACAAATTTTTTAATTCTTCATATTTAGTTTCATCATGTATACATATGTATTTTGGTAAAAATTCTTTTGCTTGTTCATATAAATCTTTTACATTTTTATTAACATATAAAGCTTCTACATTAAAAATTTTTTCAATTTGATTACATTCCTTTATTATATCAAGAGTGTTTCTTCCTATACTACCAGTGCTACCAAAAATACCTATATTTATTTGTTTCTTACTATTAGTTATATCTATGAAATTACTTTTTAATAATTTTACATTTATATAACTTTTAATATTCTTTAACTTTTCTGTTTTCCTTTTGCCTAGTCCTTTTAATGCATTATTTATATAAGTTATTTTGTATAGTGTCTTTTTACTTGCATTTTTTGAGAATAAGTAATTAATTTCTAATACTAATAAAATATACAAATATATAAATATTACCATTTATTTTGTTTTATTATTTTATATATTTTTATTATTTTTCATCCTGTGTTATTTTACACATAGTTTATTTTTTTATATGAATGAAATATATTCTGTTTAATTTTAAAAATATATGAAATATGTTAATAAAAAATAAAGATTAAAATTTTCATAAATGAAATGAGCACACAATTAAAAAAATAAAATAATTTTTTTTTTTTTTTTTAATAATTCTATTAAATTTAATTTTAAACAATAATATAAAATTTGATTTATAAAAATCGTAATTTAAGTAAAACAATGGTATAATTAAAAATTTTTGTAATGAAAAATTTTAAAATACTACTAAAAAATTATACATATAATTATAGATTCATGTAAATATATAATATTAAATTAAATAAATTATTCATTAAAATATTGAAAATAAATTTAAATATGTTAAATATATATATATATATATACATTAATTAAATATATTACAAAATGTGTTTGAAATTAATAAAATTACATAATTAATAGCATATATCTAGTAATTAAAATTACACTATTTAACAAAATGGATATGTTTGAAATTTGTAAAAGAACAAATGTTAAAATATTTTTTTTATCAAGTAGATAGAAGCAATTATGTTTTATTTAATTATTTATTGAAATTTTTGATGAGAAAAAAAAAATAAAACTCTATATTTTCTACATATCAAACAATTTTGAAATTACATATGTACGAAATTGACATATTATATAATTTATTTTCTGATACATTAATTATAATTTTACACTTTTTTAGTATTCTTCTATTATTTTTTTAGATATACTTAATAAATATATTATAGATCTAATTAAATTTAAAACAAAAAAAAAGTTCTGCTTTTTTCTTATTAAAAATGTATCCATGAAAAAGCTGTAAAAAAATAATTTGTTTTTATATAAACATTTTTTAAATAATTTTTTTGACTGATATAGCCAAAAAAAACGGTTACATTAGTATATAATAAAGAAAATAAAAAAAAAAAAAAAATAATAAAATATTATAAAATAAAAAAATACAATATTGTAAATTATGATTTAATAAATAAATTTATATATTTGTAATTCAAACAAAAGATTTTGTATTTTTTAAAGACTAAAATTATATATAAATATTTTTAATATCCTTATTTTTTTGATTAAAGGAATTATGATTATACTCTTTAAAAGTTGTTTAATTTTTTTTTTTTTTATTATTTTATAATTTTGATAATTAAAAACGTGATGGATTTTTCTTAAAGTATTCTTTTCAATATATTCCAACTTTTACAGAAATTCTTAAATATTTCTTTTAATAACTCTATACATTCAAATGCAATAATTAACATATATATTAAATGTGCTCTTATTAAAAAAGAAATAGTAATAATAATTTGCATCAGAGAAATAATAAATGTTATGAAGTCAATTCTTCGGTTACAAAATCAGCAAAAATAGTACAAACGCTATTTATATAATTAGAAGTAGATGGAAAATGTGGATCATTTTCTCCTAGAGATTTCTTATAAGAATCCTCATGAAAATTCTTTTGATTATAAAGTAAATTGGTGATTATATCAACTTCATTATTATTATTTTCATAATATCTTCTCGTTCCTGATCCTGTTAGCAATAAAGGATAAATTGGATGCTTATTTACTGATGTGATTGGTGAATATTTGTTAATTAATTGTTTATGGATTAATTTATTATTTATGATATCATACACATTTATATAACCAAATGTATCACCACATATTAAATAATCTTTATATATATCAAATATATATTTCTGATTTGTTAATGCATGTCTTTCAAATTTTTGTATATAATTTTTATTATTTCTCATATCAAAGAGGTATATAAATGGGCTATTTCTACTACCACTTAAAATAAAGAATTCATTAAACCATTTAATGTGTGTAATTCCATTAGAATTTTTCTTATTTTGAAATTTCAAAATATAATCATTTTTGTGATCACAATTATCAGCATACAAATATAAGCAATCGTTATAATCTCCAACAGCATATATGCAATTTTTTCCGTAACCTTCTTTTTTATATTCAATGACTGATATAATTCCTTTTTGACCTTTTCCTTTTCTTGTACTTAAAATTCTATTTTCTAATGTTTCATTTGGTTTATTAAAATCAAAAACTTTTATTGATTTATTAGTTCCACACAATAACCAATTTTTTTCCGGATGAAAACACAGAGAATAACAATTGCATATTTCACAACATTCGTTTAAAGTCTTAAAAGATAATAGCGTTGAACAATCAAAAGCGCTATATAAATATATAGGTTTGTTTTTTGAACACACAGAAAAAAAACATGTATTATAATCATTCCATTCAAAATATGGATAAAATTTACAATCATAAATATGTTCACTTAATTTCATACTTATCCAACTACTATTTCTTTTTGTTTTTTCTAAATCAGTCATATTATTATATTTTTCAAATAATATATTTAAATTTTCATAAATGTTTTCATTTTTTTCTAAAAAATGTAACAAAGTTAAATCGGTAGCAAATAATCTTAGATAATTATTATTGGAAATAGTGTAATAACAACTTCCATCTCTATTAAATTCACATTGTTTTAAAAATTCATTTTTTTTTTTTTTTTTTTTTTCATCATTGTATTTGTTTTGATATATATTTATATGTTCTTGACTTTTATCTGTATCAGATTCATCTTCATCATTTTCATTCTTATAACTTTTATTGGATTTGATTTCATTCTTACTACTTATATTTTCATCATTAACTTCGTATGACGATGATGTATCACCATCTAAATAATATGGTTTGTTTGACTTATTTAAATTTTCTATTTGTTCATATTTATAATTATAGGAATCAATAAAAGGTATTTCTTGTATTATGTAGAAATTCTTGCCATTTAATAAGCCGTTCTTTTTCTTATATTCTATATTTTTATCTTCACAAATACTTTCAGTGAATGCATTTTTGTTTTCGTCCATCATTATGCGCTTTTTGTTTTTATGAGGTTTACTGATACAATTATATTCTTCATTTAATTTAATAAAATATAAATGTTTTTAACTTTTATTTTTTTTTTGAAATATATTTTTACTTTTTTTATTTTTTAAGATTTACATTATTAACTCATTAAAGCATTATCTTTTTTTTTTTTATTTTTTTTTCTCTTGTTATTAACTTCTATTAATTTAAATAAAGTTATGTTTCGTTTTTGTGAATATTTACATAATGATATCAATTCCATGATAACCATTTAAAAGTGTTATAATAAAAAAACTCAAATTTTTAATTGCAATTATATATCTAATAATCTTTTTTATAAATAAATATATGTAGTGTCAAAGAAAACAAATAAATTAAAATTATTTTTTTTTAATATTTATAAAATTTTTGTTCTTGATAAAAAAAAAAAAAAGATTAAAAAAAGATACAAGGATGTTCCTGTTTTTTTATTATAAAATTCTTAAAAATATTTACTTTTTTTTTTTTTTTTTTTTATTAATGCATTAAAAATATAATTTTATTTATACAGACAATGTATTCATATACATTTTTTAATAATATTATTAAGGTCAAACTTACGTAACATTTCTTATTATAAAATTTCAGATTCTTTGTAATTCTTTAAGACATTTTTTTTATTTTGTTATCCCACTATTAATATATAACATAAATTAAATGTAGCTTAAACTCTACTTAGCAATATGACTATCACTACTTAAAGCAATATATAATTTTTTCTAAGTTATTCTTATGCCATATCGAAAAACTTTTTAATTATATTTTTAAAAAATATTTATTTCTCTTAACTATTAATATTTATAAGAAAAAATTTAGGATAATTACATTTGTGTAAAACTTAATATTTAACAAGCAAAATGAGGAAATCAATTTAATAGAATTAAATTAACAAAAAAAAAAAAAAGTAAATATATTTCAATTAAAGAAGGGATCCCCATGCGAATAGTATGAAATTAGCATCTATAAAATAAAATTATATAAAGTTAGAATTTTTATTTTTTAAAATTTTATTAAATATATTCAATGAAATTTGTATCATTTTTTTTTTTTTTTTTTTTTTATTCTTGAAATATGTATCAATATAATTGAAGAGAAAGAAATTAAAATACTAAAAAAAATTACAAAGTAAAAGAGTATAAGATTGTATGAATATGAAGGTAGAAAAAAAACAAAATAAATCTTTGATAAACAAACAAGATATAGAAATTTCAAATCAAAAGGACTTGAAGCAAAAGTTAAATATTAAGAAAAAAAAAATAATAAAAGAAATAAAAATTTTAGAAAAGAAAAAACCTATTGATACATTTAATTTAGCTTATGTTTATATATTATTAAAATATTTCTTTGATAATAATAATATCGATATTTTAAATGAGCATTTTTATCTTCAAGATAATGTTTTAAATATAACTGAAGATTTAATAGGACATATATTATGGGTATTTGATAAAAATGAAAATAAATTATATGGATCAAGAATTATTGAATTAGAATCATATAATGGTGCAAAGGATAAGGCATCACATGCATATAATAATAAAAAAACAAATAGAAATTTATCTATGTTTGAAAAAGGGGGAAGAAGTTATGTATATATATGTTATGGTATTCATAATTGTTTAAATATAGTAACTAATTTAGAAAATATTCCTGAAGCTATTTTAATTAGATCTCTTGAGCCAATATATAATATAGAATATTTTATTTCAAATAAGTTTAAAAATACTTCTGAAAATTTATATTTTGAAAATTTCTTTGAAAATGATAGAGGATATAAGGTGGAAGATAAAGAATATATGAAAAAAAGAAAAAATGATATTAAAGATTTAATTAATAAAGAAAATTATTTAAAGAAAATTGATAAAGTAGATAATGTTTTAAAAATGATAAATAAAAAAAAATTAGTAAAATTATGCAGTGGTCCTGGTTGTGTAACAAAATGTCTAAAAGTAACAAGACAAGATGATATGGAATATTTTTATATTGACTTACTTAATAATAATATAAAAAAGGAGGATAAATTAAAAAAAGAAGTAAATTATAATAAAAATATGATGATTAGCATCAACTATAATGATAATAATAAAAGTTCAAAGTATTTTAACAACTCAAAACTTCTAAATGATAAAGGAAAAAGTAAAAAAAAAAACATAGATGGTATTAATGTTTCCAACAAAAATAACAGTAGTAGTAATATCTTATTACATGACTCTAGTAAAAATATAAAATCAAATTATTACTTTTCATCTAATATAAATAATTTAGAAAAAAGTAGGTTTTTTATAAGTATTTGCCCAACAGTTAATGACATTTTGTATTTTTATGAAACATTAAGAGCTGATAAAAATGAAGAAGAATACATTATAAAGAATATATATGATGATAATAAAATGTATTTATTAGAATATTTTGATTACATGAAATGGCAAAAAGATAAATTAATTATCCAAAAAGATAAAAGAATAGGAATAAATTATGCAGAGGAAGCTGCCTTATATGAGTATCGGTTTTTATTAAAGAATCATCCATCTGTTACTTTTCCTCCTAAATAATTTGCAACATTTGTAATTAATTCTAAAATGTATAATTATACTTTTAGTGATATATTAATCTAGAAAGGTTAAAGAAAAAAATTTTATTTTTTTTTTTTTAAATTTTTTTAATAAGCTTATAATTTTATTTATATAAAAATCTTAAAGATATTTTATAAATAAATAATTTTATCTATTTTTTTTTTTATTTGTTCTAATAAATTTCATATTTTAAGCATACATTCTTTTGTATGTATAACAAAAAAAAAAAAAAAAAAAAAAATTACTTTAAAAGTTTAATTTTAAATTATTAAAGAAATGTACTATTTTTTTTATTTTTATTAAATAGATAAAACAGCTACTATATATTTGTAAAACCTAATATTTTAAATAATTTTCTTTTGTATATTTTTAAAATAATTAACTTAATCATGTATTATGTGTTAAATATTATATAAATCCTAAATCACTTTAAAAAAATAAATGATGAAAAAGAAAATTCTTTTTAAATAAAAAAAAAAAAAAAAAAAATCAGAAATAAAAAAAAATTTATCACGTATATAAAATTATGTAACAAAAATAAAATATAACAAAAAATTTAGTTCTAAACAATACATATATATATATATATATAAAGAGGGAAAGAGATTTATGAAGATCTTCTAAAATATAACTTTAAATAATTTATCGTATTGGGAATAACACTTTCAAACGATAAAAATATAATTCCAATAAGAACAAGAAAAAAGCCAAAAGCCCAAGCACATATGCATATTGGTCTTTCCTAATAAAAAAAAAAAAAAAATATGCATGCATATAATTTATTGAAGTAGTATATATACATATATATTATATATATATATATATATATATATATATATTTGTTACGTTAAAAATAAACATTCCATTAACTGCATTAAAAGCAACATTGCCAAAACTTTTTAATGATACAACATGAGTTAAATGATAATGTTTCAATAAATAAGGAGTATAAAATATTTCTGTTATTGCCACAATAAAAGTTAATAGAGCTAGAATTATTAGTTTATAGTTTAAAAAAAATTGAAAAAATCTAAATTTGTCTTTTACTATTATAGACATAAAACCTATCACTAATGCTTTACAAAGAATTGTACTTAATGATCCCATTATTCCAGATGAAAAAGGAGAAAAGATATATAAAAAATTATACATTTTTTTTTTTTTTATTTGTAAATATTTTATTGAAAAAAAAGCAACAGAATAAGTAAATAATAATTCAAATGTCATTAAAAATATGGATTCTATTTTTAAAAATAATTTAAAAATATAATCTAAATCGTTGAATTGACTATCTTTACCAGAAAATATTGTTATTAATATTAAACCTATAGTGGCAAAAGGTATACCAATATATAAATAAAGTGATTGAGTTTCTTTTAAGACAAATCTTTCTAATAATAGAGAACAAATAAGACGAATACTTACAAATCCAACCATGGATGCAGGTAAAAGAGCATTACTAAATAAATTGAAAGATGGTGCAACTATACTTGTAAAAAATATACCACAATAAAAATAAAGATAACTTCTTTTTTTTAACTTATTCATATAATTCTCATCTACTGTCTGAAATGTTGAACTTCTAGTAACTTCTTCATCACTATTTCTTTTTCTTTCAGAGTACATTTTTTTCATATCTATATTTTTACTAATATAAAAAGAGTGAGGATTTATATTTTCATTTGTAAAGTTATAATTTTTACTATTTATATTGTCTAACGATTCCTGAGGTGGAAAGGAATAATAATACACCTTATCTTTATTTGTAGTGTTTGTCATAATATTAGGATTTTCTCTTGATTCCTTTTTGTTCAACATAGTTATTATGGTTCCTTCTTTTTCTTTATTTTTATGTAAATCATTATATTTATTATCACAACACATGCTTAATTGTTCTGAATTATCAAAATTCAAATTTTTTGACATAATTGTTTCTCTAGTATTCCTATTTTGCAATGTATAAAAATCTTTTAATAAAGAGTCATAAGAAAATGATTTTTTTTTAATGTTTTTCTTATAAAACTTGTGAGTATTATTATATCTTTTATTTTTTTTTATATAATTTTTAAATTTGTTTTTTTTAAATGAAGAATTACAAATATAGTTATAATTTTCTTTGCTATCTTTATAAAAACTATTAAAACCTTTCATTTCTTCTAATGTGCAATAATCTGAATTTTTAAGTGACCGTAATGATCTTTCTTTTCTCTTTGTTTTTTTGTTTATTTCTCTTGTATTTAGGTTTTTACTACAAAAATTTTTATATTTTGATCTATAATTAGTAATACTTTCATTCATATTTTTGTAATTTATATCAATAATTTCAGAATTATTAGTAATATTTTTAGTATTATAATTTTCATTTTTATATTTTACTAAATTAAATTCCTCTTTTAAATTATTTGATTTTATAATGCATACTGATTGAAAGCTGCATAATTTTCTTAATTTTCTATTACTTTTAGAATAAATGTAAGTCATGGATTTCCATTCACTAATTTCTGACTTTTTTTTTTTAATTAATTTTCCTTCAGTAAAATAATTTCTTTTTTTTTCTTTTTTAACATTATTATTCTCATTCTCATTTTCATCTCCCTTTTTCTTTCTTTCTTTTATTTTTTTTTTATGAAAAAATTTATTACATAAAATTTTTTTTTCTTTTATTTTTTTCTTGTAAATACTCTTAGAATTTTGTATGTTGATTAATGAAATATTTATAAAGGACTTTTTTTTTTTTTTTCCCTTTTTATTTCGATTAGAATATTGGTTATATTCATTTGAGCTATTTTTTTCTTCTAATTTACATGTAATTAATTCCTTTCTTTCAATAAGTTTTTTATATTTTTCATAAATTATATGACTTTTTTTAATTATTGTACTCCCAACTGATTCTATAATAGAAACAGATACGCTCAAAAATACTCCAACATAATCTAGCCATGGTTTGTCCATCCAACTTGTTTGCTCTTTATTGACACTAATTGTCTTTATTTTGCAATTTATACAACTTATTAATATTATTGAAATTATCAAATCTATTAATAATTTAATCATTTTTTTTTTTCATTTTTTCCTATATTATTTATTTTTTGTTTTATATTTGTTTGATATGTTTGTTTTTAACATAAAATTAATTTTTCGAAGAAAAAAAAAAAATCGAAAAAATTGTATAAATTAATAAACATATATTCTAAGAAAAACTGAACAAAAAGAAAAATCCTATAAAATATAATTAATAAATTATTTCTAATATCAAATTAAAAAAAAAAAATCAGGAAGAATAATATATAGAAGAATATACAATATTTTTTACGAGTTTATATTTGTAAAAGAAAATTAGGCAATGAATTTTTCCTTTTGATTTTTTTTTTTTTTTTTTTTTTTTCTTGTAGTACGTAAATATTTTTTTAATATATAATGAAAAAAAAAATATAAAAACTATTATGAATTTAAAGTATTATATATTTAATAATGTCCTAAAATAAGAATTTTAAATAATAGTTTTTAAGACCATAATATCGAATTTTTCTCAAATATAAGAGAATAATTTATTTCATAATTTAAAAATTTTTTGTCAACAAAAATTCTATATACATATTTTAGTATTTCTTTTTATTTTAAAACAAAAAAATTCAGAATTTCAAAGTTTTTTCTATTTTTCAAAAGCATAAGAATGTTATAAATTAAAAAGGTATTAAATTGCAGTGACAATTTATACATTAAAAAATTATACAGCTATGTTTTTTTTTTTTCTTTTACAATATCATTTCATATTTTCATTATCATTAACATAAAAAAAAAAAAAAAATATATTTTTTAAAATTCATTTAAAAAAACTTTTACAACACTTTTTTTTTAAAGTATTTTATAATATAAAGTATGCAATTTATTAAAAAAGACAGATTCATATATATATTGCATAAAAAAATAGATATATGTAGGAATAAAAAGATATTTTTTTTAAAAAATTTCTTTGTTTTTTATCATTATATTTTACATAATTTGCATATTGCATATATATATAGCCACATATATATATTAATTACCTAAAATATATTATATTAATTATTTTTATAATATTTTTTTCTATTTTAAGAGTCATCAATATTTAAATTTTCTAAATCAATTTTGTCATTCCACACTTCATCTATTTCTACGTCATCCTCAGATAAATTAGTTTGTAAATGTTCTTCCTTTTCATTTTTTTTGTTTCCTTTTTGTTTTGAGTTACTATCGTATATAATGTTATCTTCATTAAATTTATCCAAAATGACTTTTTTTTCTTTATTTGTTTCATATTTATTTGTATTTTTCTCAGTTTGGTCTATTTGACAATTATTAACATAATTATTAGGTAAATTTATATTCTCTATATTCTTTTTATCTTGTATAATTTTATAACTTCCTCCAATATTTAATTCATCATCATTGATTTCAAATTCTTCCTCTATAAAAACTTCATTATCGTCAGATCTTTCAAAAAGATCATTATAATCTTTATCATAATTTTTATATCCATTGGAAAAATCATTTTCATTTACATTATAATTTTTAAATGATTTATCATTTTCATTAATATTTTCAAATTCCTTTTTATTTATATGACAACTATTAATTGTTTTCTTCATTTTACATATTCCGTCATAAGTTTCTTCAACTTTTTCATGTTTTAACTTATCATTATTATCAAAACCTGATTTAAGATCATTCTTTTTTCTAATAAAAAGATTTATATATTTATTGTCATTTTCACAGTTTTTTTCAGGTGTTAATTGTTCAAAGTGTTTTATTTTATTTTCAACAGGTTGATTTTTTAAAAATTCTTCATTATATTTATTTGAATTTTCTTTACTTATTACACATTTCTCCTCTTCATTTGATAAATGTAAAATAGTTTTATCACTATTGTCATTTTTATAATTATGTATTTTATTCATATTGGTGTAAATAAAATTTTTTGCTAAACTTTTAACGTCTGTAAAATCATTATTTATAATATTTTCTTTGTTATGATCATTTTTTTGTAAATCATCATTTTTTTTTTCTATTGAAGAAGAGAAAAATGTTTTGTTATGTAAGTTTTTTTTAAGTGTATTTTCATTAATATATTTAAAAGTTGTTTCTAAAAAATTAGAAGAATTTCCTATAAATCCCTTTAGTTCATTTTTCAAGTTATTTTCAAAAGATGATAATTTTGAAATGTTAATATTTATTTTCGGTGGAATATTTATATTTTTTATTTCTTTTAATTCTATTTGCTTTTGTAAATTATTTATATTTTCCTTTAAAGATTTTATATTATTCTGATATTCTGTAATAGAATTTTGTAAAACATTATTTAGAATTTTATACTTTTTTATTTTATAGTTCTTTTCATTCATCATTAAATTTTTTTCTTTTAAAGTAGTTAATAGTTTTTGAAGTTTATTTAAAATTTCATTTTTTTTATTTATTTCTTTATCTAATTCTTCTCTAAGGAAAAATGTTTCTTTTATTAATGTTTCTGATTCATTATTTTTTATATCATTATTTAAAATTTCTGTTTTGGATTCCTTATCAATACTATATATATCACTGTTATTAAGAGAATAATATTCTTTTATTTTTATTCTTTTTTGTTTATATTCATAATTTTTCAATTTATTTTCTAGTATATTAATGTTCTCTTCATAATTTTTGATAATACTAATAAAAAAAGAGCATTTCATTTTATACATTTTTAAAGTAATGGATGATTTATTAATTTGAACCATTAACCGTTTAATTTCATTTTTCAATTCTTCTTTGTGATTTTTTTCAGATTCTATTAAGTCAATTAAGTTTTTATTTTTATCAATGGTAGTTTGTAAATAATTTTTAATTTCATAAATATCATAACTATATTTCTGTAGTTTTTTTAATTCTTCTTCCATATTCAATAAATCTTTCTTTAATAAACTATTTTCGTTTTCTATTTTTAATTTTTCATTTTTTAATAAATCGAAAATTTTGGAGTTTTTACTATTTTCATCAATTAAATTTTGTATTTTTATATTCAGTTCTTGAATTTTTTCATAATTCCTATATCCTTCTTTTTCATTGTTATCTAAATTTGATTTTAAGTTGTAAATATTTCTCTCATTTTCTTCTTCTTTAATTTTTAAATTATTATTTATCATACTTAATTCTTTATTAATATCCATTAACTTTATATTTTCCTTCTCTTTATTGTTTAATTCTTGTTCTAAATAATTTATTTTGTTTTTCAAATTTTCAATTTTATTTTTATACATTATATCATTTTTTTCCAAATTTTCCAGAGCATTTTGTAATTTTTCTTCACTTTTATTCAAATCAAATTCTGTTTTATTTAATTTCTTCTCAAATTCTTTAATTTTTTTTTCCAGATTAAATATTTTCGAATTTTTCGTATTTATATCTATTTCCATTACATGTATTTTTTCTTTTATTTCAATATCCTTTTCTTTTAATATATCATCTTTGCTTTTCAGTAAATTGTTTAGTTCATCGTATTTTTTTTCGTATTCTTCATATTTACTATCATCTATTTTGTTTTTTTGCTTTAGTTCTTCACATTTCCTTTCATAATTTTCATTTAAACGTTCAATTTCATCATTTTTATTTTTTAATTCCTCACATTTTTTTTCATATTCATTATTTTTTGTTTTCAACTCTTCACATCTCTTTTCATATTCATTAATTCTTGCTTTTATTTCTTTATATTTCTTTTCATATTCATCATTTTTATTTTTTAATTCCTCACATTTTTTTTCATATTCATTATTTTTTGTTTTCAACTCTTCACATTTCTTTTCATATTCATTAATTCTTGCTTTTATTTCTTTATATTTCTTTTCATATTCATCATTTTTATTTTTTAATTCCTCACATTTCTTTTCATATTCATTATTTTTTGTTTTCAACTCTTCATATTTCTTTTCATTTTCATCATTTTTATTTTTTAGTTCTTCATATTTCTTTTCATTTTCATCATTTTTATTTTTTAATTCCTCACATTTCTTTTCATATTCATTATTTTTATTTTTTAATTCCTCATATTTCTTTTCAAATTCATTATTTTTTGTTTTCAACTCTTCATATTTCTTTTCATTTTCAACATTTTTATTTTTTAGTTCTTCATATTTCTTTTCATTCTCATCATTTCTATTTTTTAATTTTTCATTTTCATGTTTTAATTCTATTAATTCCTTTTCTTTTCCTTTATCTCCATTATTTCCAGAGTTATATATAAAAGATGATTCTATGTTTACATTGTTATTTATTTCTTGTCTTAATTGATCAATTTCTTCAATAGCTTTGTTTTTTTCTTGAATAATTTTATTTATATACGTTTCTTTTTCATTTAATGATTTTTCTATTTCCTTAATTATATTATCTTTTTGATTAATTAAATATTGCATTTTATTTATTTTTTTGTTATATTCTATACAGTAATTACTTTCATCATTTTTATTTTCATCCATCGTAAGTTCCTCTTTATTTTTAATTAATGAATTTAAACTTAATTTATCTTGATTTATATCTTCATAATTATTTATTGTGGGTTTTTCCAGTTCTTTCATTATATTATTTTCTTCCATCAAATTATTTACTTTATTTTCATGACTTATAAAACTACACTTGCACTTCTTTGAATTATTTTGTAAAATATTTAAGTCTTCTGTAATTTTTTTAACTGTTTCTTCTTTTATTTTAATTTCGCTCTGCAAATTTTCAATAATATTAATATAATAATTTTTATGTTCGCTTGATAATATTCCTTTATCTTCATTTTCTTTATTTAATTCATCTACATTGATTCTCGTATTTACTTCTTTCATATTTTCAATAGATTTATCACATATATATTTTTTAGTAATATCTTCTATATACTTTATTAAAGTTTCATCATCATTGATGTTTAATATATTTTTTATACGTAACCACTTTTTCACACAATTATTATATTCATTTTTTACATTAGTTACTTCACTATTTAAAATATCTACTTTTTTATTATAAAAATGTATTATTTCTTCATTACATCTTAACTTAGATATATTGTTTAAATCTTCTCTTAAATTATTAATAAGAGTATCTTTTTCCATTATTTTACTTAGAAGGATTTTATTTTTACATATTAAATCATTATTATTTTCATAATCATTATTATTTTCATAAACATTATTATTTTCTTCCGTATATTTTTTCTGTATTGATAGATTTTCATTACAATTGAAATTTATATTATTTAGACCTTTTTTTTTTTCTTTTATGTTTAAAAAAAAAGAGGAATATTTATCAAACTTTTTTTTAACATTTGCAAAAATTTCATTTTTTTCATTATTTGAAAAATTTTCATTATTTTTTTTTAATTTATCAAGAAATTTAACATTATCATTTAGGATACTTTCTTCTATAACTTCATGAGTGTTTTTATTAATTAAATTATCTGTTGTAGTTTCATTCATTAAAGTACTAGATATATTTACATTGCTTAAAGAATTAAATGAATCTTCATTAATCGAATTACTTGTTTTATCTAGATCTATTAAACCACTTTCTATTTTATCATTATTTAAATTATTATTTACATTTTCATTATTTAAAATAATATTTATATTTTCATTATTTAAATCATTATTTAAAGTATTATTTATATTTTCATTATTTAAATCATTATTTGAAGTATTATTTATATTTTCATCATTTAAATCATTATTTAAAGTATTATTTACATTTTCATTATTTAAATCATTATTTATATTTTCATTATTAAAAATATTATTTATATTATCTATATTTTCATTATTTAAATCATTATTTATATTTTCATTATTAAAAATATTATCTATATTTTCATTATTTAAATCATTATTTATATTTTCATTATTTATGAGTATTTCTTTTGTATGTTCTATCTTTTCTTCATATTCATACTCTGTAAAATTATTTTCATCTTTATTATACGCATTTCTACTTTCTAATATAAAATTATTTTTTTCATTAAAATCTTTTTCATTTTTAATATTTTCTTTTCCATTTGAACTGTTTTGCAAATTATTAAAACAGTTTAGTTCGTCTTTTTTACCATACAATATTTTTTCGTTTTCTTCTCTAACGTTATGATCAACCATTATATTAACTAAAAAAAAAAAAGAAGCATATATATATATATAGAAATTTATCAATATTGTTAATAAAAACATAAAGAAGTCATATATATATATATATATATATACGTATTTAAAATTGCTTCTTCATAGACCTGGATTATTAAAATTTAAATTATTCTCTTCTAATATATCATCATTATTAATCATATGAAGATCATCATCAATTATATTAATATCAGCATCCCATATATTTTCTTTATCAATGCTTATTTGATCATCAAAACTGTCATCAGGAAACTCTATTTTTGCATTGGATTGATATTTTTCTTCTTTATTAATTCTATCCATTTTGTTTTTGATCAAAAATTTAAATTCCAATTACATTTAATGTTGTATTTTATTCTCTATAAAAGGTATATATAAACATATGAATAAATTATAAAAAATGTATAATTTTGTGTATATTTTTACACATATATATAAAAGAAACATAAAAAATAAATAAAAAAAACAAAAAAAACAAAAACAAATAAACTATAGAATTTAAAACGAGATTAATATTTTCAAAATAATAAAAAAAAAAAAAGAAAGTGTAATTATACATCTATATAAATGATGAAACATATAATTTGTAAAACAAATTAAAAAAAAAAAAAGAAATGAACAAAATTAAAACAAAAAAATATAAATAAAATAAAAACAAATACAAATAATTTTTTTATGATATTAATATAGGAAAAATTTTATATAACATGTATAAAAATAAAATAAAAATGAAGATGAAATCAACATATTTCAATAGATTATGAAACATCATATAAGTTTCGTTTTAATCATAAATGTACTTTTTAAAAAATTGTTTTTTTTTTTTTTTTTTTTATAATATTTATGCACATTTCTTATAAAATTACTTACATAACTTTTTTTATTAAACATAAGTTTATGTAAATATCTTTTATAAATATTAAGGAAAATTAAATATATACATATAAATGTTTATAATTTTTATTTATTATTACTATGTTTAGTTTCCTCTTATTAGGAATCTTTTTCAGACTTGAAATTTTTACTATTTCTTTTTAATTTTTTGCTACTTTTAGTCATAGATAATTATTATTATTACCTTCTACATTAACACTTGATGTCTAATAGTATGGTAATTATATGTTAATAATAAGTAAAAAATAGAAATATAAAAATATCTACATATGTACATACATAAATATATACATATATATAAACGTTTATTCATACTTTCATATTAGTTTAAAATCTATAATTTAAATATAGTTAAAAATATATTACTAAAAGAAAAACAAATTATAAATTTTAAATATTATAGAAACTGTTTTTTTTTTTATTAAGGTAAATCTATACTAATACAACTAATATCCTTTTTTTTTTTTTTTTTTTTACTCAAAAATAAATATATACAATGTTAATTTGCAACATTAAAATAGTGAAAATAACATATAATACATTTATTTTTTATAAAATATTTTTTATTATAAAAAAAAAAAAAAAAAAAAAAAAAAAAAAATTTTTT